TTAATCATCAGAATATATAGACAAAAGAGATCTGGTTAACCTAACTGGTCCGAATATATGGACAAAAGAGATCTGGTTAACCTAAATGGTCAGAATATATAGACAAAAGAGATCTGGTTAACCTAAATCGTCAGAATATATAGACAAAAGAGATCTGGTTAACCTAAATGGTCAGAATATATAGACAAAAGAGATCTTGTTAACCTTAATCATCAGAATATATAGACAAAAGAGATCTGGTTAACCTAAATGGTCAGAATATATTGACAAAAGAGACATGGTTAACCTAAATGGTCAGAATATATAGACAAAAGAGATCTTGTTAACCTAAATGGTCAGAATATATAGACAAAAGAGATCTGGTTAACCTAAATGGTCAGAATATATAGACAAAAGAGATATTGTTAACCTAAATGATCAAAATATATAGACAAAAGAGATATTGTTAACCTAAATGATCAGAATATATAGACAAAAGAGATCTTGTTCAGCTTAATCATCAGAATATATAGAATAGATTTTGTACGACACATTCGGAAGCTTTAGGTTTGAAATATTAGATAGAATTATTCTATTGAAATAGTGTTGACGAGTCTCTTTCAGAGGTACAAAGTCAAACTTTTTTTAAAGGGTACTGCAAAACCACCACCCAATATTGATTAAAATAAACATGTGGGTGGAATCATACTGTAGATGGTGTTACATAATTAAAGACCATTATGTCTAGTGATTTTGATCGTATACAGGGTGTTCAGGAAATAAAGATAATAATGTCATAACTTTTTTATATATTCATGGATTGCATTGAAAGTTTCAGAGATTAACGTTTTAACATATTTTAACTGATTTTTGGAGTTTCCGCTTCAGGCGAATTGATTGGTTGATTCTGTGGTTGTCATAGCAACGCGAGTAGCGCTAAGGCGGGGCAGATGGAATAACTGCAGTATATTTGCATGTTTTAAAAAGAGATTCTATCATGTTTATGACTTAAAATGGATGTTTAAACATAGTTATAACTATTAACCTGAAATTCTTTGCCAATTTATCAATTTATTCTACATAATTTCCCCCATTTTAGACACAAACTCTTTGCCTCTTGAACCTTCTTCAAATTCTTCACAGAATTCTTCTTGACTCATTTCCTGAAGTCTGTTTAACACATGTGAACGTATGGCATGAGTATTCTCAAATGCATGTCCTCTTAAGTCCCGTTTTGATTCAGCAAAGAAGTATAAATCATTTGGCGCTAGGCTGGGTGAATAAGGTGGATGCTTGAGTTGCTCTAATCTCAGCTGCTCAATTTTTTGTGATTATGGCAGCAGTATGGGAGGGGGAATTGTCCAAGTGGAAGAGAAATTGCATCCCGGGTTGCTTTCTATGCAATGCTTGCATTAAGTCATGAAAATCCCATTATATATCATTAAAAAAGCATTTATTTGACTTTAATATCATGAAACAAAGCAATAGAAGAATTTGATCATGGAGATGCACCAAGAAAGCTTTAAATATGGAGTCCAAATTGGTTTGCCATGCTAAATGTTGCACAGAAACTACTGCAGTTATTCCATGTGCCCGCCTTAGCGCTACACGCGTTGCTATGCCAACCACAGAAATGATAAATCAAATCGCTTGAAGCTTAAACTCCAAAAGTAAGTTTGAATATGTTTAGACTATAATCCCTGCAAATTTTATTGAAATCCATGAATAAATAAAAAATATATGACAGTATTATCTTTATTTCCTGAACACCCTGTATATATATTCAAATCTTACAGGGCATTAGTTTCAATCAGTACCCCTGATGGGATGACCAAAAAACAAAACGGTAAAATAACTTCTTCAAATTGGATGTTTTTACTTTTTTGCACCAGTGAATATTTTTTTGTGTTTTTGCAAGTACTAGTAAGGTAGCTATAAACAGGGTGTTCAGGAAATAAAGATAATAATAATGTCATAACTTTTTTATTTATTAATGAAATCATCTTTCAATTTATCATCGCATTTGATAATGCATTCGCTGGAATGTATTGGTCATTCTCGTCGGATGTTGACTTTAGTTGTTCCAGGCCTCTTGGCTTGGCATTAGCATAAATATGGTCATTCAAATAGCCCCAGAGAAGAAAGTCCGGCCCACCTTTTGGTGGTGACATAATGAATAATATACAAACTGACATCGAAATATGAGGATGTTACATTGATCTTTGATGTAAAAAGTAAAGAGAGGCACAACTGAAGTAAAAACGTCAATCTTTGGATCGGGATACATGAACATGCAAAAGATGTCCGAAAAATTTAGATCGATTTATCTGTACCCCGGATCTGTACCGCTGATATACTTTTGGGAACATTTTTGAGACACCCTGTATATACACCGGAAGCTAAAAATAATGACTGGTACTGAACATCATTTTTATGATTGATACAACAGCGGGACAAAGCGTAAATTGGTTTTGATTTCTAAAATCAATAATGACTGACACTCGGTGAAGAAATGCATACGTTTATGTATAATGAATAATGATTGCCTTTCATTTTAATACGTATTTAATGAATACAAGACATGTGTACGTGACGTACGAAAAAATTAAATATAGCAGAATGCAAACCTTTTTTTTTCTCAGGTCCAGTCATTCATGTCATTGAGATGTTAAGATTATTCGAAATGGCGAGTATAAGGCACTTGGCTGACAGGGACAAATAAATAATAAGGAACTCGCCTGAAAGGAGTATATTTGGAATAATGGTTTTATAAAAATTAATAATCAAACAGTGAGTTGTGCTAATTAGATAAACAAGGGTATTCTTCAAATTAAAGACGTTGTTATCAATGAATTCTTGGGGTTTAACGAACTTTCTCTTAAATACAACATCAATACACCCTTCGTTACCTCTTATGGCTTAATCCACGCTATACCACACACATGGAAACAATTAATTAGAAATAATCCAATTAACAAGAAGCTTAAAAATGAAGAACTTCAAATTAAAGACCGCAAAATCAACGTCAAGGCTATTAAAACTATCTAGTATTACTTTATTGGTATCTCATAGAGGATTTATTCAAAGAACCAACTGGTAAGAAATTCCTAATTGCAAAATGTAATGTCGCAGAAGTGGAATGGAAACATATCTTCACTTTACCTTTTAAGACTGTACGTGAACAAAGAATACAATGTCTTAGCCTATCTTCAATACAAACTCATTTTAAATCTAACGCCAAACAATAACTTTCTAACTCAAAAGAAGATCAAAAATTCGAGCAAAACTAAACAAATGATACTGATGATTGTTTCCTTTAAATAAAAAAAATTGCCAATGGTTTAACCAATACTGTATTGTTAAATTGTAAAATGTATGTTTACTAATGTTTACCATGTAACTGTATTGTAATATCCCAGATGCGAGTAGAAATAATCTTGAATTAAAAATTCACAATTCAGTCAAACTGATGTCATATTTGGAATCTACATATAAAATTACATTTAGAAATGTGGTTTTGAAAAGAGTTTATCAACTTTGAAAATTTAATTTTCTTTGAAAATGTGACTTCTAGGTCGGGGAAATTCTCCGTAGAGCCCATGTTGTAAAACCACAAAAAGTGAAATATCTTTTCTTTTGTTGTGCAGATAATATTTTCTTTTACTGGACATATTTTAATTTGTATAACTATTAGAAACATAAAGGTAATATGAAAAGTGAACCATTTAAACTGATGCATATTCAAGTTTAAGGGAATTTTGTGATACCCTGCCATGTTAATTCCCCCGAATCAGCCACCTGGTGGCGAAACTGGTAACTACCTACTAGCATCTGAGTAATTGTTTTTTGCAATTGCTTTAACAAAAATTCAAAATTGTGCGACATATGCAATAATAACAAAATCGATGACACCATATACGTACTTTTATATTGAGTGCCCAAACTCTGCCAAGATTTGGGACGAATTCAAAATTTTCTTCAATGTTGATCTAACAAATAAAAATATAATTATAGGAAAATTAGATGAAGAAAACGAGGATAAAACTAAAGCCATAAATATTTGTATCTTGTATAAAAAAAAGTCTAATACATAAATCGAGACTGATTAAAACTAAAATCACCTTTATCCAAATAAAGGAAATCATAAAATATAAAATCAAAGATGAACAAAACATTGCAAATTTAAATGATATGCAAGAAACCTTCTATAAGACTTGGAAATTGGTTATTGATTAAGCCAATAACTCTGTATTATATTTAAGGTATGGAGTATATATTATAAAACTGTGGTAACCTATATGTTTTTTGAAGACTATTGTGCAATTGTGCTGTAAACATTTGTAATTATATTGTTTGGAAATCCTCTGTACACGGAGATGAGCGGTTGAAAATAGTACCTATTTGTAAAATGTAAAATAATTATATGAACATGTGTGTATATCATGTATGATGTATGTGTAAGATCCAATAAAAAAGACAGGAACAGCGTCCACAATGATTTCATGAAACCAGGTACAAAGAGAAAAGCTTTTAATGGTACTTGATAAAGTAATTAATTCAAGGACATAATTTGACTGTTTGGGGAATTCCATCTTTGACCAAAGTTATACGATCTTTATACCTGTATATTACAAATGCCAGTTGGTTAGGGTGTGTTTTTGCATTTAAAAAACATTTCGCGTAGTCAACATAAAGGAGAGGTTAACATTCGAAATTGACCTAATTTGGGAAAATTCGTCTATCCAAAAAAGCCTTCATTTTTTCTCGGTTTGTACAGACCCATCCCTTTCTTTTGAAAAGTGATTTCAAATTGGGATAATAGGCACATGGGGTGCTAAATAAATGTTTGCTTTAGCGCTATAGCGTGGGTAAAAATTCTGGAAAAATAAAACCATTCATCCTCTTAAAAAACCACAATGGAGTTGATTCATTCCTCAATGGCATTTTCCAAATAAAGTCAACTTCATGAAAATATTCTTGACCTCCAGTGATATCTACTTAATACCAACAACTAACAACAATTGGTATTTTCTAAAGATTATATATTTAAGTTCATATTTACAATAAATGTACAATCTTGGGACAGTGTCCATGTATGTATTGTTGTATACTAAAATTACTCTTTACAACTCGTATTAGAAAAAGAGATTCCAATTACAAAATAAAGAATTTAAACAATTTGTTGAGATGAATTACCAATATGCATATATAAGACATGAGGAATTCCATTTGTAAAATGCTGCGTCTGCCTATTACAAAAGTTTGTATGTTATACATTCCTGGTGTGATACAGAACATGATCGTTAAAATAAGTCAACGTAGTTTTTCTCAGAAAGCTCTGGAATATGGGCATCTTTTATTAATCCAAATTAAGTGTTAGAGAAAATGAATCTCATTTCCTCATCCATGCACTGATTCACGATCACTATGAAATTGGTAAATATGCCTCCTTCTTTAACATGATAAGATATGAGTGAGTTGATGAAGTTAACAGTCCTACAAGTTTTCTTGTGGTGTTTGATGCTACCTTGGTCGAGGTGGACCCATCATTGGAGGCCCACGCATCATTGGACCCATTGGACCCATAGGACCCATCATACCCATAGGTGGACCCATTGGACGCATGGCTGGAACAGATGTAAAACACAGTAAATCATGTGCATATAGTTTAGGTTATTAACAGAAAAGTAAAAAGTTTTGTAAAAGTTAAAAATTCCTATCCATGGATACGACAAATATTTTAAGAATTCTGAAATTTCTGTCAATGGCACCCAGATTAAGAACTTGCATGTTAAAACACATAGGGTTTAATATAAAAAACATTTACCTTCATTCATACTAAGTGGCATCTGTGCTCATGGATACACTTAGTACGAAGGAAGGTAAATGCCATTTCATTTTGTGACACCATTAATTTCTGCCAATTCCCATCCATTTTTCTGTTTATATACATACATGTATTTCCAACATTGCAGCTAATTTCATTTCAAAGAGTAGAGTCTAGATCCTATAACTGTACATGCATTTATTTTTACATGGTTCACAATATTTTGATCTCGGCCATTACAGTAATATGGTCATACTTACGCATCATTGGAGGACCCATAGGGCCCCCTGGTCCCATCATAGGGCCTCCAGGTCCCATAGGCCCCATAGGTCCTGGTGGCCCGCCAGGTGGACCTCCAGGACCACCTGGGCCTGGTGGACCTCCTGGACCTTTTGGACCTCCTGAAAAAATAAATAAATCATCTGATCAACGATAGTTAAGTCAACAAAGTAAATATGAGTTTCATAAAAGATTTGGAGTGGGTAGCATAGCCATTTTTGATTTGGCATACAGGGTTTCTGTAACAGTTAATTTCACTTGTCTTGGGCTTTTCAAGAATCTCTTACAACTTGTCTCCAGGCTTTCATGAACATAAGAAAGTGTATTTGGCAATTAGTGTTGATACAACACTGTCAAGACATGATCTCAAAACCATCAACATAAACATACATAGCGTGATTATGTTTATGTTTTCAATGAATTTGACATCATTTCTTGACATTTAGTGTTCTGCTCATGTTAATGAGTTGACATCGTTTATTAACAATTAGTGCTGTATCAATAAATTAATGGTTATTACGGTAACCCATTGTTAAGTTGTTGCTGTAATTACTACAGAATTAACCAACATTGTACTTTCAACACTCAAAACTCCAAAAAGAATCAGAACTTGTCCCTCCAGATCAATGACAAACATTGATAACCATCGTAATTAACCATAACTTAATTAACTGACAGAATAATGTCCAAAATAACCATTGAATACCCAGGAATAAGTATCCTTCATGATATGCAGAAAATCCACACAAAAAAGTTGGAGACTATAACACTTGTGGTGGTAATATAAAAACTGAAAAGACTTATTCAAACATTGTCCTTCTGAGGATTTTTCTCATTCCGATCCTCACTATTTTCACTGGTCAAAATATCCAAATCTAGCATAATTTCCTACATTCTGACTAAACATTGCTTTCTGATGGTGCAAGATAAATAGTTCTCTGGGTATAATACCCTGTATAGTGCTATACCCTGGTTGTATCATCGCACATCTCATTGTTTCTGGCATATTTTGATATTAAACTTTCTCACAATCTGACACGGTTACATGTACATGTAATCAAGTCACTCATGCAAAGTAATACAAGCGATCCCAGCATTAAAGTAAAAGGTTGTTGCAACTGCTTATTTACAATAGAAGCTTGCTCCTATCTGAAAATCTATTTGCCCAACAGCTAAAGATAAGAAGGACAGTCTGGTGAATGAATAGACACCTAGTCATAACCACATCGTGTGAGCCAAAAAAATCGCGAAGAATATGTATATTTTGAAAAACCCTGATGAGAACAATGAATACCCTTGCAACAATACCAGAACTCAATATTCTGTCCATTAAAGCTTTTACTGCTGTAGACTTACCTAAACTAGCAGGGGGAGGGATCATTGCCCCACCAGGTCCTCCTGAGCCAAATGGATTCTGGGTAATCTTGCCTTGCTTGAAAGCCGCAGCTGAAATAAACAAAGAATTTTCATTATTATATCATGCAATATATATGTAGTACAATATTTTGAAAAATATGAGAAATTTCCCAAAAGAGCCTATATTAAACCACTAATTCACAAACCACTTCTGGTAGATTACGTCTTATTAGATTTTCTTGTAATGGTACCAACTGTCATTTATAAAGAGTGTAATCATGTATTATTACTATATGTTGAGCATTTTAAAATACTAAAAAATGTTATGTTAAGTATTTTTTGACAAACTTACTTGTGTCATCAACAAGTTTTTGAACTTGATCCTCAAGCCATTTCTGATAGTATAGTTTCACATTTTCTTTATGTTTCCTTCCACTGCAATGCGTCTTTCTTACTGAAGGCTGCAAAACAATTAAACATTTGAACATATGAATTCCATATCAACAAAATCAAAAACCAACTACATTCCAACAAAGACAATTAAGAGGTTAAGGAGGGATGAAATTATATCTGTTATTTGTGTTATAGAAATATGGGTATGGTAATGATGAAGTTCCTCGCTTGTTTAAAGGGTAAGTAACTCCCTCAATTTGAAATCGATGTATGTAAGGTTAAATGAAGGTCTAATATAGTAAACCATTAAAGTTTACCCTCATAAATGTGGGGGTTGATTTTTCACCCCCACAACTACTTGATTATTGAAATATTAGGGCTGAAAAACATTGTCAGTAGTTGACTCAAAGCTGAATTTTATCTAAATAACCACTAATCCAGCTTATTTTCAGCCCCGAGATTTCAATACACAAGTAACTGTGAGGGTGATTTGAAAAATCAACCCCACATTTATGGGGGTAGCTCTCTTAGGCCCTTCAAAGTACTTGTCTGTTTAGTGGTAACTGCCAGGTTTTCCAAGAACATCTCTAGTCAAAGATATTTATTTTTTGTCTATGATCACATATCTTAACATTTTTAAGGCGAAGCTAAATTAAAAAAAAGTACAAAAAATGACTGCCATATCTTTTTGATAAAGACACATGTTTTTAAAATCTGTTTACCTTGTATATGAATTGTATATATGATGATAATTATACTGTAATAGATAAAATATACAAGAAGTGATAATCCATGCCACTTGGTGTAGTCACAAAACTTGTATGAGGATTAATCAGGAAGTCTAGAAGTAGTTCCGGCAAACAAAAATGGTGGACATGAAATATTTAGAATTCACAATGGTTTGAGCTTTATTTTACTCTAAAAATGCAAGAAGTGCACATTTTCATGCTCCTTTGTTGTTCCTGGGAAAGGTAAGATGATTTGTGGAAATTTTGGATTCTTGCAAATGTGTGACTCTTGCAAGGCTACTCTTTAAAACTTTCAAAAATTAGCCTCACTTCACACTCTTCATGCTAGCTTTGGGGATACATGCACCTCCAATTCATAGATATGAAAAATGCATTTATGTATGATGATAACTTTGACATGTTTCTTTAGTCAAGATATACAATTCATGTACAAGGTAAACAGATTTTAAAAACGTGTCTTTATCAAAAAAATATGGCAGTCATTTTTTGTACTTTTGATTTAATTTAGCTTCGCCTTAAAGCAAAAGCAAATGCCTCGGATCAATAGGTGTTTTGAAAACTAGACAACAGCAACACCAAAGCATAGCAAATCCCCTGCAAAATCGGCACTAAAATGGCCGCCATTTTTAAATGAGCGGACATTTTGAAAATCGGCTTTTAAGCAGAATTTCTACCCCCATAGGGTATATGTGTACAAAATATAAACAAAATTGGGCCAACGGTATTTGAGTTATTGCATGGACATATGGACAGACAGACGGACGGGGGCGTTCCCTATATTCCTCCGAACTTCGTTCGATGGGATAATAATTCGACTAAACAGACAAGTATATAGGCCTTTTCTGAGTAAAACTTACAGAGTCGTGGGTGAGGTATGTATCACAGTAGTCACAGTAGTACCTAAAATAAAGAAGATGCGATATGTAAGCATGTCAAAGATACAGTACAGGCAATTTTCTCTGATTTTCAAGCGACTGCTGTGAGAATTTGTATTCAAATTCAAGCTCTAAAATATGTTTGCAATCAATGAGAGAACTTCTGTTTTTCAGTTCAGAAGGAACTGGAAAATATCTACTCTTCCAGCAACACCTCTAATATAGCATCCAACTGGCAACTCAGATAGCCAACTCAGCTTTGTTTTGATCCACGAATCCCAACGTACAGTATTTTTGTGAACTTCAACCTATTATTGTAAATATATCTGAACACCGACGGCTTCAATAAAGTGGCTTCTAGAATCTAGGCATACAAGCAATCATAAACATAAGTTTGAAGATTACTTGGTGCCTAAAGTTGGATAAAATAGACAAATAACGACCAAAATACTCACTTCGGCATTGTGCTTGCGACTAACAGACAGACTGGCGGAAGTGAAATGCGTTGCCAAAATGTAATTCATTATTTCAGCCTAATAATAGCATTTTATGTATTAATAATTGTACAAAAAGATGGAAATATGCATCAATATACTTTATCAAGAATTATTTCCGGTTAAAACTTCTAATCTTAGGAAACGATGTAAAAATTAAATTGGTTATGCAGACTATTTTCAAGATGGTGGACACCGGCATGAGCTACCGAGAAATTGTCCCAAATCAGAGCTCTAACTTACGATGGAAAGATATAACATTCAACTCAGGTATGCTTTATGCTAGACACGAGTATTTTGCATGTCTTCACGAGATTTCAGTCTATTTGGTGAGGTTATCTTGGAGAAATCGAACAAACTGTAAATAAATTTTCCCGCTTATTATTATTTTTCAAATAATTCAAAACAAAACCAGTGGTCATTAAACACAGGGAACTATTGACATTGTTCGATATGGTTTTGGGGTGTTCTTTGTCTACAATGGTTTCCTCATACGCTATGAAAATTCAAATTCCTAACAAGAATAAGGAAAGAATGTGATGTAACCACGTGTCTACTTACCGGCTTGTTCTATGTCATCCATCGGACTAGGTTACATCGTGGAACGCAGCCGAACAGGACGCTGAAGGCAACCGCATATCTATCTTGATCTTAGCCGAATTTTTGGAAATTTAGGTCGTCCATTTTGCAAGCTCACGTGACTGACACGTGACACATGTCTGATCACGTGACTAGTTACTGTATCGATCATGTGACTTAATCACGTGTCAATGACGTGTCACCCAATCATGTCTTCAAGGAAATTGGAAGTAAATATTTTTGAAAATGTTTTCCGAGCATTTGCTACTGATTATAGAAGGCCCAATTACGCAACGAACGAAACTGCTAAATTGTTTTCGTGCCTAACATGCGCAATACGCAATGAAAGAAACTGCTAAATTGTATTTTTAGAGCTGTTTATTGATCTATTGATTCATAAAGACCTGTAATGATGCATTCAAATAAGACCGCCTCCTAAATGAAAACAGTACACATAAGGTGGTGAAAAAACAACGAACTAAAGTTGAAAGATCGGAACGTTCGCTACTTTGTTCAATTCCGGAAATCTCCAAGGGGCTGCAAATGGGAAATTATTTAGATATAGATTTTATAACCTCAGAATACTGGCTTCATTGTCGTGTTTGGCTGCGTTCCACGATGTAACCTAGTCCGATGGATGACATAGAACAAGCTAGTAAGTAGACACGTGGTTACATCACATTCTTTCCTTATTCTAACCATATGAACTGATTGACAGAATAAAAAATTTGACTGTAGTCGAGATCGCCAGGTCAAAAAGTAGACTATATCCTGTACTACTTTTTTCAAGGCCTGACTGCGTCGCTAACATGCTAAATATAAGAGTTAGCTGACGTTTGGGAGTCTGACTTACCTTCTAAAGGTTAGAACCCGAATCTTAATGAAACCATATCACCTTTGTTCCGTCAACCATGGAGCATTTGCAGTAGTCTGAAATTTTTTTGAAATTTGGAATGAAAATATTCAGACTATAGCCCACATATGTTAAAATTTGGGATTGAAACAGGGGGGGAGATTTCCCAAAGATGCCCTATCATATTAGCACGTTCGAAAACAAATTTTATAAACAGGCCTCAATTTGCCGTTGAAATGGATCTCCAAATGTTCACTGTAGTTTTATGAGTATTCTCTATAAGTATGGATCGAGTAACTTCAATAGTATTACCGTAGATTTGAAATGATGATGTTGACCTGATGTTAACGCCATTCCACCGATTTCAAATATAACTGCGCATGTCAGCACTTAGAGAGCATGTGCTCATGATTGTTCACGTGATCGAATCCTGCAATTTGATTGGAGATGATGCAAGAGATGATGTAATGGGGAATCCCCGAATACGATAGAATATGAAAGAATTATGGGAGCTACTCACTCCTCCTGGGATTGAAAATTATTTGTTTACTTAGGAAGTGCCATTCAAAATGGCCGACTGGGTAAATTAATTTGCATATTTGTTACTTCCCCTAGCTTTATTTCATTTGACAATATGCTGAGTTACTTTTTATAGCATTTAATTGTACCTTACTACTTAATTGAATTGTTATAATGCTTATTTTTGGGAAGTGAAGTTTCCTACAGTTAAGGTGCCATGGAAGTTAACAGGAAATGACGAAACAGGAAGTGAAAAATAATTTGAATTTTTAGACATTTTTTGAACAAAAATAACAGAGTTCTGGTTTGACCTCCAGTCAATTTAACTATTTCCACATATCATTTACATGACCAGGATCACAATGTGCATGGTCAGAATGACCCTAAACATGATGAAATAACCTTTTTAGCCCTTTGAAAGTGTGACTGAAAAAAAGCTAAAGGTAGGAGCTAGGGAAGGTCACTGAACAGAATCTTTTGAGTTTTTCAGAAAATGTGCCCAATATAATGCTCTAACTGATACAATCTTTGAAATTTTAGAAAATTGTGTTAAACAAAAATGGCGGTCATAAAAAGGAAAATAGATCGCTTTTCAAATCAGTTTTTTCATTTTTTTTCTTTTTCTATGAATGATATCAAATTTTCAAAAATTGTATCATTTAGAGCAATATATTGGGCACATTTTCTGAAAAATTCGAAAGATTCTGTTCAGTGACCTTTCCTACCTCCTTCTTTTAGCTATTTTTCAGTCACATTTTCAGAGGGCTGAAAAGGTTATTTCATCATGTTTAGGGTCATTCTGACCATGAACATTGTGATCCTGGACCTGTAAATGGTATTTGGAACTAGTTGAATTGACTGGAGGTTAAAACAGAACTCTGTTATCTTTGTTTAAAAATGCAAAAAATTTTGTCACTTCCTGTTTTGTCATTTCCTGTTAACTTCCATAGCACCTTAAATTTTAAATGTTAGTAACTACTTTGAATTTAAAAAATAAGCAATCCCAGGACCATATTGAAGCAGTAAATGTAAAAATAGAAACATTTATACATGTCCTAACTTTGGTATATTTTAGTTTTTTTGTAGTTTAGCTATCATATCTGTGCCCTCCTATATTTTTATGCTTCTCCGCCATGTTATTTTCGGAAAAATTAACATGGCTGAAACTCCCTAAATTACAAAAGGCCACAGCTTTATTGCACATTATACATAACTATCTGAAATATACAAAAGTTAGGACAAGTACATATGTTTCTATTTTTTTATATACTGTTGCAATATATTTATTTGATTGCTTATTTTTTAAATTCAAAGTAGTTCCTAACATTTAAAATTTTACTGTAAAATTGATAATAGTTTGCAGGAAATTTTTCCCACAGGAGGGACATAATGATCAATAGACTGAATTCTCAGGAAATTCAGTCTATTGGATATAGACTAGGTCAAAAAGTATTGGAGCACTGAAATACTTCTTTTTCGATCAAGACTCGTAAATTGTTCATCGAGTGAATGTTTTTTCGACCCATTACCAATATGGCGGTTTGCTAGGAGCGAGATACAAAACGAACGAAATGAATTTTGAGAATGAGTTAGGTTCGGACAACTTCCGGAGATGTACAAAAATGTCCAAGCAGAAAACGCCATATTGGAATTTGGCAGTAAAAACATTCACTCGACTTACAATTACAAGTCTTGATCAAAGAGGAAGTACTTGAGCGCTCCAATACTTGTACGGAAGGATGATAATGATGTATGACATAGTTAGAGAACAAAAGTAAGCCGCTGATCGACTTAATTCGTGTTTCAAATGTCACTATTATTCAGCTGTCCATTTCTCCGTTTGAGAGCCATAAGTTTCAAAATCTAACATGGCTCTTGAAGTGAGTAAGGTAAGGTAACATGCCTATGACATCACAAATGATCGAAGAAACTCTAGGTTATTTGTTTGTTTAGTTGTTGTTGGGGCAATACAACTCTGATGGTACAGATGACTTTGAATTTGCATCATGCCATTTTACGACATTGCATAATTTTAGCTAATTTTGGCTTCATTTATTGTTTAAAGAGGGAATCAGATATAGCGAGCAGGCTAAACAAAAAATTGTTTCAATTTTAGAATATTTTTGGCTCATGTCATTCCTTTTCATGTCTATTTTCTAAAAATCACAAAAGTGCTTACTTTATTCCAGGAAAACTAAAGATTTTTACAATAATGTATTATTTTTCTACGTATTTAGTCCCTCGCTTTTCTTACACTGACGAACGACCAATATCAGTGTAATATTGGCAATATTAATGCCGATCGTCAGTGTAAGAAAAGCGAGGGACTAAATACGTGAATTGTGTCTTTGTTAACATATAAAACCTAAAACCATCGACACATTCTCAAACTAGACTATCTTCCTTAACACGAGCCAAATTATTATCCACAACGTGACTTATAAGTAGGTGTAAATCGGGAAATAAAAAAATCTTACCGAATCTAGTCCCGGAGGAAGTTCCGCCATGATACACCGACGATACGTCTGTGTAATTAGGTGGGTAGCAGTGCCACTGTCATGTGTATTTTCTCTTAGGTAACTCTCTGAGCACACTACAAGATATTAAGCTGCCAGAATGTGCAGGTGGCTATACATACAGAGATTCAGGCAAGGTGGCTGCACCATCCAGGAACAGGTTTATCTATTGGTAAGTAATCAAAGAAAAATTACTTTGTTAGCAGTTTAAAATCTATTGTCACCTAGGTGAAAATCTAGTGTCCCATTGTTGAAGATTTTTCACACATATTTAAAACTTAAAAAAAATTTGGCTTTGAAGTTTACTAGGCGACCATTTTTAATTGAATATTGAAGATGGTTGTTTTTCTTAAACACTGTCTAGTACACAGTATTTCCCAAATATGAATATGAATGAGCACGTGCACATGATTGTTCATGTGATCACATCCTGCAATTTTGATTGGATGTCATATAATGGGGAATCCCCAAATACGATAGAATATAAAAGAATTGTGGGAGCTACTCACTTCTTCTGGTATGTACTTGTACATTATGATAGTTATAGGTTGAGCTCACATTACAATGGACATTCTTTGTGACTTCAGGAGGACATTTAATGATTGCTTGGAGCTAGTGGAACAATCTCTTGATTTTAACCTTACCGGGAATGCCGTGAGGTTCAAGTTTCAAGATACCCCCATCCTGAATGGTGTTGGCATACATGAGTCACATGGATATGTCGTTATATTGGTCTCAACTGTTTGTAGCGTACATAGATTGATGTTCCCACACCCTAATAAATTGCAGAAAATGGTAAGATTCTACTATGAATTTTCAACATTTGTATCATTTTTTCGTTGAAATTATACATGACAGCCGATCGTGAAAAGTTGATGTCTCTGAAGGATGGAAATTCGAAAACTTTTAAAAAAAATTCATTGGCCTTTTCGTGCTATATACATTTACATTATACATGTATGCACATTTGCAGGAGCTATCCTACTACCCTGGCTCAGTCCAGACCAGTGAATCCTCCCCTTCCATATTCATGGATGCATCAATCAATACTGTTCGTGACCCTGCCAATCTATACTCTGTCTGCCATAGCGGCACCCAGTCATACCAGATACACACAGCCACCTCCTGGCTTACGGGGGAGGGTGAGGCGCTGTTTGGAATGGCCACAAACACAGGCAGCATTCTGCTAATTAAACTCCCTTCCTATGGGATTCAAGGGATTGTGCTACAGCATGAACTGAGGCAGTCTTCTATGATGAAAAGGCTCTGGAGTGGTCTTGTACCTGCAGCAATCAGGTGAGATTTACATTACACACGGTTCCCTCCATTGGATAAAAATTCTTTCAAAATCATGCAGTTTTATTTCATTTTGAGCACCTTTCAAGTGATTTTGGCCCAAGGTTGTCAAATGTGAGCCTCTCTCTTGAAAAGTGAACCCCTCTGCAAAACCTTGGCCTTTGGGACCTCTTCACACAAAAAATGACACCCACCCACATAATGTTTCAAAACTTTTTTGTCTGAAGAAATTCTGACTTATTTTTTCACACATTGAAACTAGTCTATTTTTGCAACTCCACAAGAAGTTTCAGGTGACTAGCTCACCTAAATGCACGTTACAAAATGTGTCGTCTATTCTTTTGCTGGCACAACTGGATCGTACACAAAAAATGACACCCCCGTTTTCTAACATAATTTTGGAAATAAATTATAATGATTTTATCAACCACTACATTATTTTGTGTTTAATTCAATGGACTTCATTTCCCTGAAAGTACAAGTCAACATTATTAGTATTTACAAAGTTATGCTACAAAAGCTTGGTCTTATATTTTGTGTAGAATCCATGTGTGTCTGCAAAGGAATGGTCGACATTTAGAGCAAATGTTGTTATGCTCATAAAATTTGACCCACTTGAGCAAAACAAAGGAGGGCGAGTTGTTTGTAGAATGAATCGGGGGATTTTTTTCATGAATTTCGCTTATGTTTTTCATCCAAAAAACATCAATACACTTTAAAACATTTTGTTTACTTTAAGATTACACCATGTAATCCAAAAATATATTTCTCATTTTCAAAGATAATCCATGGATTAACACCCAGGTATTTTTATTTTTCAAACTTCAGAGGGCTGGGAATCATTGATGCTCAACGCTTTTGAATATGATAAATGCTGTTTTAAATAGGTTTTACGTATACCAATAATATCTCAAATTATGTAAGCTGAATGCATTCCATAATCCCTAGAATATTCTCTTGGAGGAATCCAATGGTAATCCAATGGTAGTTCCAAGCAGATTTTTAGATGGCAGGTAAGTAAATTCTTTAGTACTCACCTTATTGGGTTGAGTTAGTTTATATTCAAAAATTATATATGATTCTGTAAAGATGTCAGTGTGGATGCTATATAGATTGCACACGTATGGTAAGCTGTATAATCCTATATTATGTAACACGAGTACAGTTTTGGTTGACATGATTGTGACTGAGTGAGAGATTAAACTCTTTAAGGTAGTTCTGCATGTTGATAATTTTTACTAATTTTGGTGATGAATAAATTATCTGATAATTATAAATTGGGCAATATTTTTGACATTTTAAGTGGATATAAAGAATTATGGTAACATACACATGGACCATGCATACACATACAATTACAAATGTGAAAATATTGTCCCTTTCATTGATTATGAAAATTATTGAAAAATATCGAGACATATCTACCTTAAAATCAGATTGGCTTACAAGTACCCTAAGCTATTTTCACATTTTTATTGCAAGAAAATCTTTTTGCAAGGGCTACAAAGGTTGAAATATTGTGGTGGCTCTATTTGGCTGGAGTTTAATATTCAGACCTAGCTATAGGTATTATTACATTTATATGTACACCAGTATCTTGTTGACCTATATTCAGCACTGTATTGATGAATGGGCCACTTATTAGGGCCAATATTCAATCATAAAGTGTACAGGGGTAGAGATGCCAAACCAAGAAGTCTTTTTGTGTCTGTCAAAATCCATTTGCATCCTACACATCCCAACATATTATCCAAATATGTTATTAATTAATGAAACATAACAGTATAATCTTTGGATTTACAAAGTAGTATGGGATTTCATTAGTGTAAAAGTTGCTTTTGAAGCATTTTTCTATAGCCATTTTGTAGGAAAAAAATGATGGAAAAAATGTATAATCTTTTAATTTGAAGTATGACCTGAATCGATTGCAAACTTTATATTTGCACATCTGATGTGATATACCATTTGTGTCATACTGTGAAATTATTTAATTTGCAATCGATTCAAGTCATAGTGTATTTTAGGTATTTTTGTGAAAATCAATAGAAACCAATGGCCTCTATTGGAATTGATGATATCCACATGTTAAGTCAATGGAGCCCATTCAATGGAGCCCATTCAATGGCAAGTCAATACACCCTTGCTGAACTAAATGACCTCATGACCCATGTGGGTCCAAACGCTCAAATATTTTCCACAGTATTATGTGACATTGTATTCTTTATGTTACACCTAAAAATGATTCATTTTGTTCATGGGGATATCATAATGGAAAGTGCACTAGACCCTTATTGTAATTGTATGATATCGTATTTGTGATTTGATATGTGATATTTGAGAAAAAGAATGTTTTGTATTAGTTTCATTGCAATTTATAACCCTAATATCTTAAAGCCAGAATCCTTCCTTGTCTTCCAATTTTCTAATAACCTCAGAAGTTCCTACTTTTTAAAAAAAATACAATTTTCCATGATCATTTTTATGTCACCACCACAAGTGGTGACATATTGTTATGGTCTCAAACTTTTTTGTGGACGGTGTTCAGTGGTTGGTGTTTATCATTTGGCAGTTGGTGTCTGTAACAAATGGCAGGTGTTGACATTTTGCATGTGAATGCCTTGTCTTATAATGTAGCCAACTGCAATGGATGTAAAACGGATACAGTTAACTAATACATTTCTTGGCATCAATTCAAATCATATGCTAATTTTAAATGAAAATGCTTTTTTTCATGTTTTACCACTCATAAATGCCATAATATCTCGATGTCACATTCAGGAAAATATGGCTATCAACAAGTTTTGAATTCTTACAATCCTGGAAGTTGTACATGTAAGCATACACATCTGTCAGTTCAGTTTATGTGTAAAAGTTAATCCCCTAAGCCATAATACCTGATGCATGAAATATTATGGATGAGTTACATAATATGTACTCGTGCTATTTAGGTAAATGTTGTGCTGTTTCACCAGATTTGACTGACATCTTTAAATAACAACAATTTGATTTGGTGATCAGACAGCAACAAAACATATTAAGTGGCCAAGACAAAAGAATGTTATTATGATAGGCATTCTAGGGATTAAGGAATGCATTCAGCTTACAAAATTTGAGAAATTATTGGCATAGGTAAAACCTATTTAAAACAGCATTTATCGTATTCAAAAGCGTTGAGCATCATTGATTCCCAGCCCTCTGAAGATTGAAAAATAAAAATACCTGGGTGTTAATCCATGGATTATCTTTGAAAATGAGAAATATATTTTTGGATTACATGGTGTAATCTTAAAGTAAACAAAATGTTTTAAAGTGTATTGATGTTTTTTGGATGAAAAACATAAGCAAAATTCATGAAAAAAATCCCCCGATTCATTCTACAAACAACCCGCCCTCCTTTTTGGAGGTGCTTTCGAATTATGTCTACTTTATATGTGTCAAAGGACAAGTCTATATGTTTACAGACAAACAAGTTATGCAACGTAAAGTGGGTGTCATTTTTTTGTGTCACCCTGGTAGGTCAATGTGGTTATTTGATTCATTAAAATATAACCATGTAGTTTCAAGTTAGTTAGTTCGTTAAGTTTTGACTGCTGAGAAACTGTTGAAATTATGAAAATATATCAAATAAAATGAATGTTGAAATATTATTGTTCTACAAATATTATCAAAATAATTATTTTTAAATATTATACAAGTAAAACATATTGTAAAGGAATTTATCAAAGAGGGAGGTAATTCTATTATTTTTCAATTGAAATGCTACCACTAGTTTTTACACACATAATTCTTCTGCTTCAGAGGAGGACAAGAGGCCACAGATGCTTCCCTGAGTCTTGCCATCCACCCATTTGGCCAGGATATCTTCATATTTTCAGTCTGTAGGGACCATAAAATCAGAATGTGGTCTTGCAAGGTATTCAATTCAGTTCTGTCTTGGAAGGTTCATCAAAAGGGTGAAGAATTTGAATTGAATTTTTTCAAGTATGACAAATGGCATACCCCAATATGGAAATATTTTGATGATTTAAATTCTGTAGAGTAATTTCAAATTATCAACTGAGTACAGCTTGCTGTTCACATATATGGGACACATGTAGTCGAAATCTATAGTACACCATAGCTATAAAAGGCAGTTGACCTGGTATAATTACCCTCTAAGAGAATCAAGACTTAATTAAAATCAAGACTGATGTTACAATGACCATATGTTTTCTCTTTGTAGAACCAGGAATGTGTCATGGCATCTGATTTGCTAGAACACATGCCAGATTCTGTTGATCCACAGAAAACTGCCATCGGAGGTTAGTATCACATATACATTTTTTATATGTATTTGAGTTGTATGCAGTTAAGTGCAATTTACATTCGTGGCCAAGAACCAAGCATATCTATATATTGATTCATATATAAATCTTGGGGTTTCCTATGTTGCCATATCTTATTTACAGCCCAGAGCGATATTCTATATATATAAGTTCAGGAAGCATCTACTGCATGATGTCTCCAACTTTTCTTACAGTTTTCTTACAATTTTCTTAGGGTTAATGTTTTGATAAATTCTGTTGTTTATATAAGTTAGGTTTAACTACATTTACATTGTATATATCTACTGTACATTGTTCATTCACAATCAAGGGCCATATTCACAGTGTAACAGTTAATTCTGATGTCTCCATCTTTGAGTCTTCTTAAGGTTTATGTATTAATAAATGCTTATGCTTATTTACAGCCCAGGGCCATATCCTACATGTTGCATCAGGGAGCACATCTTCATCTGTTCATCTTGGTGTCTTTCTCAGCTTCTCAGACAGGAATCTGTTCATTATACTACAACCTGTACTCTCTGATGGACAATACAAGATTAATTCTGTCGTCTCCATATTTGGTCACAATGTAAGTATGGAGAATACTAATTAACCAATTCAGACATCAACTGTATTGGGAAGACTAAACGTTAAATGTTTTAATATGATTGCTAAGATTTGAAATGAATATTGAATGATTTTTTCTTTTCTTTTAAAGTTCTGAATATGAAATGGTATTAATTTCAAATGTATCATTGATAATAATTCATGAAATTTAATTATTATGTCACCACCATCTGTAACAGCATTTAGCAATTGGCACATGTAGCAAATTGTATTTGGCATCTGTAGCAAATGGTAGGTGGTGACATTTTGCATGTTAATGCCTTGTATTTCAGGTGATACAGGTCAATCAGGATTCATATATTATGTATGTGTTGAGTACAACACTTTCGTTGAATGATTGTATCATTTTCTATGAGCAATATCATTGATTTTCTAGGATGATCTCATTGACTTCTGCGTGACATCGAATTACATTTGGACACTTTGGATGAATAGTGAGAGTGATACCATTTCTAGATATGTCCCCATAGACAGGTAGGGCTGTAGGCACATCAGTTTTCTTTTAGAATAAATTTTTGAAAAACTGAATCAGCTTCATTGTATTAGCCGAATTAAACTTTTTAAGATTAGATTGAGTCAATTTGAATTTTATATGATTTTTCAGTGCAACTCTCATAGATGTTACAGAAAATGTGTTTCAGCAAAATTTTAATCAAGAGAGAAATCAACAGGTGGTTACTGTTTTTATTGCACTTTAAAAAGGTGCTATGTTGTCATCCTTGTGTGGGTGGGTACCATATAATATTCTTGTTTTGAAGTAGCATTCAAAGCCTTGAAATTGGAGCTATTTTGGTTAAAACAGCAACCAAATAAATCTCCATAACAATAGCTCTACCTCAATGAATACATAATGTGGAATAACTAAATCTGTAGGGAGAGCACATCAATTGACAGTTGGAATCCAGTGTTCCTTCAGCCCCAGGAGGTTGAAGAGATTGAGGTACCAGATCATAAGGACCCTAGGGAGACGTATCTACAACACATATTCTCTCCTGGGAGGTTTTCTACTCAGGCCATTGTAAAGGCACTTCAGGTAAGTGTTCTACAGGAAAAAATCTGGAGATTTTGTGAAGATTTATCTTGGGTCCTATTTCATGCAAAAAAGTATATCTGTGAGATATTGTCTCATTGTTCCTCTGGATACATAGGGGTTATGCACTGGGAGGTTTTGGATACAGGGAATATCCCGAGGGATATACAATATATCTTCCCAAGGGACCGAAGGGACCGAGGGAAGATGTATTGTATATCCCAAGGGATATTCCATGTATCCAAACCGACCGTGCATAACTGGTGTATCTCATACTTGAGTGGGTTTAGGGTAGATATAACCTTTTCCACCTTTTTCAAATGACAAGATATTTATAGTTAACATTTTCGTAATATTCTTTTTGTTCAATACAATGAAATTGTAACATTTAAACTTAAAAAAATTAAATTTTAAAATTAAAAAATTAAAACTTTTGATATTTAAATTTTTTTAAACTTTTGAAAAATTCCCGGGAGCGGGATGGATATATTATATCTTCCCGCATTTGGCCTGGAGCGGGACATATACAATATATCCTGCCCGCTCCTCAGATACGATATATATTCCCGGGTGATATCTACCCCAAACCCACTCAAGTATGAGATACTGACAATTATTTGAAAATTATATAACATTTCGAAAACTCTTTTTTTTTTGTTTGGATGGATGGGTCTAGCCAAATAATTAGTGAGTGATTATGCCATTTATGTAATTGCAGATATATCGCAGATCCCATGAGAATATAAGTATATTGGATCATGCCACTCTCTCCATTGATCTACTTAAACAGGAAGTATCCGCTGCAGTAGAAACAGAGGTAAATGTCTATAATTAGAGTGTCATGATTTTTATGTCAATACCACAATTGGTTACACATTGTTATGGTCTTCGACTTTTTGGGATGGTGGTTGGTGTTTGGCATTTAGTGTTTGGTGGTCGGCATTTGTGACAAATGACAAGTGGTGACATTTTGCATGATAATGCAAAGTTTGAAAGAATCATCAGTCTTAAAACATGTGTAGTCAGTCAATTTAAGTCGTTTCTTTATATGCAATAATCATTTGCATTATGTTCATTAGTAGGGGTGAGACGAGTCGAAAAAATCCGATTCGAGTCAGAAAATGACGATTCGAGTTTCGAATCCGTTTCGAGTCAGATAAAGTGCGAACAACATCGCTTTTGACCGTTCGTATTTTTAATGCGTCAATGGTGGAAAGCCGGAAATATAAACAAACACAATTCGTCGTAAGTTTATTCTGATTTTATTACATATATTCTTTCATTTATGTGTACATACAATATAATAATTTAATACAAGCATATCCAAGTCATTGAAACTTATATATTCAACGCAATATCGAGTAAAAACATGCATATTGACAGTATTTTTCTGAATTTTTTTATTTTTTCGAATTTTTTTCTCAACTCGAAAATGATTCGATTCATCAACTTCGACTCGACTCGAAGCCCCAAACCCGCGAGTCCTCGACTCATCGGGTTGTCGTCTCACCCCTATTCATTAGAATTTAAAAGTGGGAATGTCCACCCTTTACAATTTCAAAATGTTTCTCCACTCTTTCAGAATGATTGCCAAACAATAATAAGAATGAAAAAATGGTAATGAAATAAAGTCAGAACTGTTGATTACTGTTAAGAAATAGGCATGAAGTTGAATGAAAATTTTGAACTTTTCTTTAGAAAACCAATCTACTCGTGTGTATTATGCTCTATTTGCTGCCCTATTCAATGTTATGATATTCATTACTACATTTTCAGATTCTAAGGTCTACTACAGAGTTTAAGATGGATAAATCATACATTTTCAGATTCAGAGGTCTACTATAGAGTTTTAGATGATTATATCATACATTTTCAGATTCAGAGGTCTACTACAGAGCTTTAGATGATTATATCATACATTTTCAGATTCAGAGGTCTACTACAGAGTTTAAGATGATTATATCATACATTTTCAGATTCAGAGGACTACTACAGAGTTTTAGATGATTATATCATACATTTTCAGATTCAGAGGTCTACTACAGAGTTTTAGATGATTATATCATACATTTTTAGATTCAGAGGTCTACTACAGAGTTTTAGATGATTATATCATACATTTTCAGATTTAGAGGTCTACTACAGAGTTTTAGATGATTATATCATACATTTTCAGATTCAGAGGTCTACTACAGAGGTTTAGATGATTATATCATACATTTTCAGATTCAGAGGTCTACTACAGAGTTTAAGATGGATATATCATACATTTTCAGATTCAAAGGTCTACTACAGAGTTTTAGATGATTATATCATACATTTTCAGATTCAGAGGTCTACTACAGAGTTTTAGATGATTATATCATACATTTTCAGATTCAGAGGTCTACTACAGAGTTTTAGATGATTATATCATACATTTTCAGATTTAGAGGTCTACTACAGAGTTTTAGATGATTATATCATACATTTTCAGATTCAGAGGTCTACTACAGAGGTTTAGATGATTATATCATACATTTTCAGATTTAGAGGTCTACTACAGAGTTTTAGATGATTAAATCATACATTTTCAGATTGATTCAGAGGTCTACTACAGAGTTTGAGATGATTATACAGTGTATCATACATTTTCAGATTCAGAAATCTACTACAGAGTTTTAGATGATTATATTATACATTTTCAGATTCAGAAGTCTACTACAGAGTTTTAGATGATTATATCATACATTTTCAGATTCAGAGGTCTACTACAGAGTTTTAGATGATTATATCATACATTTTCAGATTCAGAGGTCTACTACAGAGTTTTAGATGATTATATCATACATTTTCAGATTCAGAGGTCTACTACAGAGTTTGAGATGGCACCTGAGGATTACTACCAGCTCCAACATCAACAGTGGGCCAAATTCTACTCATGCTGTACACAGTATTTTCAGGTACAGTTAGCACAGTGCATTGTAATTTTAATAATTTACTCAGTTCAGTAATTCACACTGATAACATCACAAAAATAGTATGATAAATATAATCAGTGATCTCCCCAGCATTAAAGCAAGTGGGCGCAGCACCCACCTGAGATTTTAAAAACAGGCTTGCACCCAAAAAAATATTTTCACCCACTTGAAAATGAGAAAATTCATGAAAATTAGCCACATTTTGACCTAATTTGGTTTAAATTGTGAGATTCAGAATTTTGCACCCACTTGAGATAAAATCCTTGGGAGATCATTAATAATAGAAATAAAATGCATGAAATATTAATATTCCTCACGTTGTCAGTAATTTGACAATTTCCTTATTGATTAAAGTACTAGCACCTTTTTCAATATCATGAGGCAATAAGTGAGTGCTTTGATTAAAAATAATTTCAAGCTTTAATAATGACAGAATAGAAATTTTTTTCCAAATCTATTAATTGTGTAAGTTATACATCTATATTGAAATGAAAATAGGGTTACTAGGATGAGAAATACAGTTTTTAGCTTTTGAATTAAAAGTTCTGTTTGTTTCTCAGTACAGAGTGAAAAAATGCTGAAAACCAAAAAGACAAAAATTCATGGTAATGTATTGTCGCAACTGCTATGTTATGAATGTTCAGTTGTGATGGGTAAATTACATGGCAACCATTTCACTCTTCAAAGTGTGATATTTATCACTGTGTTTTGTTCTATTTTAGGTTGAAGTAAAGCCCCTAGGCATCTTTGCTGACAATGTCACAGGAATGGTAGCCATCATTAGAAAGGTTAGTTAATACACTTGTTAACATTACTATTCACTATCAGGGCTCTCGCCAGGCTTTTTTTGCAGCACCACACTCTATTTAGCTCCCACCACACCCTACTGGCAAATCATGATTGTTTCCACAGTCTAAACTTGGCTGAATATACAATAAAAGCATGTAAAAAGGATAAAACATAACATAAATATGATTTATCACGATTGAATAGTAATGCTGAAGATGTTTGCACTACACCCTAAATATTTCCTGGTGTGAGTCCTGACTATTGTTGTTGATGTAAAGGTAGTATAAGTAGTGTCTCTGGAGGTCAATTATTAATTTGATGATTGTATTTCTCTAACAGTGCTACACAATTTCTAGAATCATGATTAAATAGATTAATACGATAGAGAAGCAGGACTATTGGAGTTTTACTTACCTTAAACTGGAATAATAGTCCTTTTTTTTCCTTCACAAGTTAATGTTAATTTTAATTTTTTAAGTTTTAATTTTTTAATTTTAATTCTTCATTACTTTCTGATAGACAGGCTTTTATTATTTTCATGACACTAAAACTAAAACTGTTCTGTTGAATAAATTAATATCTTTATAATTTTGTAGAATGTTGTTAGCTTTCTACGACCATGTGACACAGTAGAACACCTGGTGCTGACACCTATTGACTACATCATATCTGATGATTTGGCAGATATTAAGGAACTTAAACAAGGTTAGAAACTTTTTTTTGATTTTCAGTATGTATGAGTACTAGAATTATCCAAATAAGGATAGAGTTCATGTCAAGCTCAGGCATTAGTGTACAGATTATAATATTATTCTCGTAAAACTGCTTTTAACAATGCTCTGAGACCTACTCCTCCTCTTTGTTAAATCTTACCAAACATTGGATCCTCAACTAAATGTTCGGTCTTTCTCTAGATAAACGAAACCTGGCTTTTTACCCCCTCCTTCGTCCCAATAGAATATTTCCTGAATGTGTATCAATGACAAATGTAGAATATAAGAGCAATTTTATTTTCCAGATGACCAAACTTCCCTTCAAGATGTGATCTCAGTGTGTGATTGCGTGAAAATGATCGGGGATTGTGTCACCAGTGATTGGACGTTTGCCTTTGAGAATGACATTTTCTATCATGAATCTCCAGAAAAAATTGTGAAACAGATTGTAGATTCTCTACTTGTTGATCTAAGGTGAGGTAACACGTAACAACCCCCCCCCCCCCCCATTGATATAGAATTATGGACTTATTCTGATATGAAGAATATGAGGTAAAAGAGTGGAGTCCAGGGGTCAAACGGTGAACTGTGGCTCGCAATTATCATGGTTTCTACCCCCCTGAGATTTAGCTTGAACGCAATCATGAAAACCGCAGTTCTTAAGAGCTGTGAAATTTCAAAATAAAAATGTTAACTTTTAAATGAAAACCATCAGTAGGGATTTTATAACACTATCTGTATATGTAATTTTATTCCTTCATGTAATTTCCATATATCTCTTATATAATTTTCATTGATCCCTGTCATGTTTCACTATCATGTTAATTTCATTCATCCCTATCATCATTTATAACAAGGGGGATTTTCAATAGTTTTAGAAATATATATATATATCTTTTATTGACTCTTTAGATGTCATGACCCGACACATTACTCAGTACAAAATGAATATATTGTATAACACTACACTACACTTAGTCTAAGCTATCATAATATTTACGATTTATACAAAAACTTGTTATTTACATATGTTACAATATACTTTACGTGTGATGCACCCAAAATGCTAATCTCCAGGCAAGTTGAAGTTTTTGAATACCTGGTTCCAGATAAGCCTCATCGACCCCCCCCCCCCCTCCCCACCACTGCAATTACATAGAACCCCTTGTTTTGTGATTCCAGTGCTACCAGTAGAGAAGGGGACCAAATGCTGAGGAATATCAAGCTGAAACTTCACAACATCACAGGTTTGATCCGCACTTTGGACACATTACTGGATATGACAGACCTTGCCAAGGGACAGCCAGAGGAACTGAGAGTGGACGATTATGGTATGGCTTGATTGAGCTCAAAAGATAATCATTTAAAAAATGTTGAACATTATTTGCTTCTTGATAGGATTACAGTTTGAAGAGGCGTTACATGATATTTAATTATTCATATCTCATTATTCAATTGATGTCATATTAATGCCTTGTTTTCCAGATGCCCAGGGAAGACAGCTAAGCAGTAACCACTTGTTCACAAGTGACATAGGACTAGATATCCTATCCCAGTGTATACAGCAGATGTCCCAGACCCGCTTCAACTTTCTCAGAGATCTACTTATTCTACAGGTGCTAATGACTCGCTGGGGAGAACAAGTGAGTTTATTTTTTATTATTTTTTGGCTCACACGGTGAGCCTATGGGATCGACCTGGCGTCCATCCGTCCGTTTGTCCGTCTGTTGGTCCGTCCGTCCGTCCGTCCGTTTGTCCGTCCGTTGGTCCGTCCGTCCATCCTTTACCTTGTCAGTTATCTCCATATTTCTTCAAAATGAATGATGGAACATATTAGTGGCACTGCTATTAAACACAGTGTGAAAAGAGTGCTCGTGTAAAGTGATTAAGTGATCATGATTATTATTTGGTGGTTGGAGTTCAGAATTTGTAACAAATGGCAGGTAGTGACACTTTGCATGCTAATGCCTTGTTTATGTAAGTTTCAGTTCCTAATCTTAAGTGAATGGTACAACTTGTATCGGAATATTTGTAATGTAACACTGCTTAATATTGCCTCATGAAGGACAATGCATACTTGTATATTTGCACTGAATAACAAGTAGAATGTAAAATGAAATCTTTTCTTATCTGATTCCTAAGTTCATTCTCTCCTTTGTAGATTGGACTTAACCTTCAAATGAGTGAACGCATAAAGACAGATCTACTACCTAAGACCTCACTACTCGTTCATGGTTACCATGTTTTGTGCTGGTGTTGCGCTGCTACAGCTACACCTATACCTACCAATGCACTGTAAGTATAAACATGATATATTAGAGGTGTCACGGAACAAAATAAAATCGGTTTGGAACATTTCGCTTCGGAACAGAATCAGTTTGGAACCTCTTTCGATGAGGAGTGAAAAATGAACTTCTTTCGGTGCCAAAAAATGCTATTTTGTGGCGATTCGAGGGTCAAAAGCTGTGAAAGGGTAAGATTTTCTTGTTCCGGAACCGAACTGAAATATTGAATTTTTTTTTTTTTTTGACACCTCTATCAAATATGTTCAAAATTTAGTCCAGGTCTCAACGATTTGTGAGTGATTAAATGCATTGAAAGCTAAATGTAACCTTTAGTGTGTGTGACAATCCATCGTGGAATCCATACCTCCTTTGTTTACTGTATGCAGCATTTTTCTGATGATGTGATTCCAATATTAAGGAAAGACAACAAAATGTTGCATATTTTAGAGAGCTGAGTGAGAGGCAGCTGGCAGCCTTGGAGATCTCTGAGACTTCAGCGTCATCCCCAGTTTACAAGACAGGTAGGGCAGTGATATTATGAAGAATATTTTTACCAAGTTTTATTACATTAAAGGAATATTCCTTGCCAAACCATCTCTCTCCTCATATGGTAGCTATGACCATATATATGCTTGCCATGTTTAGCAAAACACGCAAAAATGTTTTGATATGGTCAAATTTGATCACTTAGAAATGTGATACGCAATTCCAGTAAGCTGCCATCTTTTAAAATTTCACACAGGAAGTGATGTCATCGACTCTCAACTTTGCATATAGCATTAGGTGAGGAGATATTAAGAATTACAAAACCAGCTAAATATTCTTTTTCAACTTTGTATCTTATTTAATCCATCTGAAAATCTCTTCTTTTATTTTAAGTTGACAAGCCCTGAAAATATTTTTGCACAGAAAGTAATGATCACTTGTCTAGAAGTGATTTTGTGCTACTTTCCTATACTGTTTTGGGCAAGGTTATAGAAGTTGAGAGTTGATGACATCACTTCCTGGAAGAAATCTTAAAAGATGGCAGCTCACTGGAAATAAGCACTAGATTTTTAAATGATCAGTATTGACCATATTAAAACATTTCCCATGTTTTGCTAAATATGGAAACTATATATATGATTATAGCTACCATATCAAGAGAGAAAGGGTCTGGCAAGGAATATTCCTTTAATGTTAGAGTTTGGAAAAACGACTGAACTGTCTTAAAAAAGCTGGTTGAAATGCATTTGAAGCATAATGTGTTCTTTCTTCAAAAGGGCAAGTAATTTTCAGTGTATTTTTGACAAAGTTGTTATTTTTTAAGTATTTTTTGACATACAGTAGTTATTATCTTTTCGATTGTTCTTTTTATCTTCTAATCATAATTTAATGCACATTCTATATTCCAGGTCACAAGGTCATGTCTTTAGCAGAGTTGTTTATGCGTGGTGTAGGGGGTCCACAATGCCGTCTGCTTCTCTCCCAAAATAACTTTTTAGAAGAAGACCCCTGTGCATTCTGGTCTAGTACATTACAACCCACAGCTACTATTGCAGGACAGCTACTGTATCCTTTAAGTTAAAGAAAATATTGTTTGTGTGGCTCAACTTATTGCCTTACGGTTATTTTTTGGAGAATTGGAATTTCAGATATCTAAATATAACGATTATTTCTGAATTCTTTTACCACTTTCCACAATTTAGTTCCTCCCTATTTCCTCATTCAAAAATCATAATCAAAAACTCTTTTTGTCATTCATGTATTGTATATTGTGCCTTATTTCCTTGACAACCAATTCCAGCTGGCCAATCAGTGTGAACTTCCTGTTCCCAGAGTTCCTCATGCTACAATGTCAGTACAGTCAGTTACAGGAGTATTTCTGGATTGTTCATCACTGGTGTGAGTGGAACCCATCCTCACGCAAGTTCCTTCTTGGCCAATCATATCTGAACTCAAAGTAAGTAACCTCAATTTCTTTCTTTATTTTGAAATGATGTTCTGTGTTTCATTATTAATGCATATTAGCTCTAAGGGCAGTCCCACTTTTTCTTCTGCCTCGAAATTATTGTAAATTTTTTCCATTTGACAGATTTATTTTGCATTTGCATTTTGCAACTTAAGCTATATGTATATTTATTGCGTTTTTATGGTCTTTTTTATATCTAATGGAGATATTAAATGATGGAATACATTTTGCCCCAAATGGTCACTCTATGTTCACTTAAATTTGAATTTATGAATTGAACCTGTTGTTTATGAGAAATTATCTCTAAAAGGAGAGGCCATAGAATTATATATCACCATGGGAACTTGAATTCTTTTGTTTTTTTTGTTATATTTCAGTGAGCCAGAAAAGGCATTAGACTGCTTCCTAGAGGCAGTACATGGTGTTGGGAATGAAGAGTTCTTGCTGCAGAAATTACTTATGTGTGATGATGAGTCTATTCCAAAACTAGAGATTCTATACTACCTCAAGGTAAGGAAGAAGCATGTGATTTTTAGGGAATCTAAAAACCGTCAATCAGATTGATTCTTTCTAGGATTCCAAGTTCACATCAACATAAAAGTCACATTTTCCAAGGCTATAACATTTCATTATCATTCACAAAATCTGATTTGAGGAATCCAATTCAGATTACAGTTTTTATCATATTAGAATCTGAGACCTGAGCCGATGCCAATATAATGTCAAATATATAATCTTAGAGTTTATTCCATACTAACATGTTTTCCCTGCGAAATAAACTTGGGAGTAAAACTGAAATTCAGAAAATCCTGTATCAGATCTCGTATTGAATCCCATATCAGCCAAAATCCTGTATTAGAACTATCAGAAAGTTTCATGAGACTTAATATTGTGTTATTATGGCTCATCATGATCCATCTAGTATTATAAATTATTTCTATTTTAAAACTTGTTCATATTAAAGTTGAAAATGTCATTCGATGAATTAAATTGTATCATTTAATGTCATCATCTTTGGAAAACAAGATACAAAACACGTTTCAGAAAAATATTATGGAATAAATAGGTTATTGATGGTCGTGATGGAATATGAATTTTTCCTCGAGAAAATATGAAATTGGCCTCATTATTGGTCAATTTTATGTTTTCCCTCGAAATCCCTTATATGGATATTCTCTGTTAAAGGTAATCAAACTGTTGGAAGAGTTCAACCTCCCTGATCTTGTCATATCATTAGCAACAACAGCCATACGGATAGCAGAACCTGGGGACCCTAACATTGTAAGTTAATATAATGTTATCATTTAAAGAGGACTTCTTGGGAAATATAACATAGCAAATATGTAGCATTTTTTGGGCTCACGTGATGAGTGTATGGAATCACCTATCTGTCTTATCAATTTGTCAGCAATCAAAAAGATCATTTATGTCATAACGGGATATTTGCTGGTAATTAACGACACTTGTCCTAGCTTCCATTTCCCTTCATTTTACAGAAATCAAATATTTTCTACCATTTCAGTCCACTGAATGCCATTTTATGAAGAATATACACTTAAAACAATTTGTGTTACAGCCAACACTATGGTCAAAGTCCTTTAAACATCACCTTGAATTGTGTCACAATGAGGAGGCTTACTCTGCCATGATAGCAAATATAGACCCTTCTAGGTAAGAACTTGAAACTTAAAAATGGATTTCGATGTAAGCATGTAACAAGTGGTTTTCTCTTGATTTTCCAAAGTTTTCTATTGTTTTCATGAATTTTTCAACATTTTTCATGTTAAAATATAATTTTGCATTATGTTTTCAATCATCTTGCCTGTTATTAGAAATTCCAATGAGACCCTGCGTGTAGAGTAATACTTCTTTTACAGACGAAAAGATTGTCTACGACAATTCATCGTGGTGCTATGTGAAAGGTCCCAATTGAGGGCACTGGTGGAATTCCCTTACATCGATATGTATGACGATGTTGTCAATATCATAGAGTCTCGTGCAAGATCTGTAGACCTGGCTACACACAACTATTATGACCTCCTCTACTCATTCCATGTATATAGGAGCAACTTTAGAAAAGGTACATTTTAATGAAAATATGAAAATATATATTTAAAGGACGATTCTCGGTTTGGAGAACGAAGTTCATCAATCTAAATGAGCATTATCCCTGCTTCAGACAAATTTGATTTTTTTACATAATATAGATTTGAATGTCTTCTTTTGAATAGTCATAATTTAATTTGGGTAATATTTCTAGATTTTTCGCAAAAAAATATTAGCGCAGTACACTGATGAACTTCTTTCCCCAAATAGAGACTTGTATTTTATTGAATCGGTCTAATTGAGCGTTATCCCTGCTTCAGACCAATTTGTTATTATTTTTACATCTTGTAGATTTAAATGTCCTCTTTTGAATATTCATAATTTAATTTGGGTAATATTTCTATATTTTTCATGAAAACAATTATTAGCCCAGGAGACTGTTCTCCAAACCGAGAATCGTCCTTTACATGTACTTTTTATTTAGAAAAGCATTCTGATCTTTACAGTAAATAATTTTCTATTTGTAGTATCTGGATGCCAAAAGCAATTCAAAATAAGTAAAATTTGTGGAAGTGGAATTCATAGTAGTGTTTTACTTTGGAAGTTTCCATTTCCAGAGGTGTTCCATTTGATAGATTTTGCTTGCAAATACAGGGTAATGGCTGTACTATTCTATTTCTATAGTCATGTAATTGCAATATTCACAGAATTTGAGAACAACTAGACTTGTAATGCAATTTTCCAATACTTGAAACTACATGTGATATATTGACTAGTGCATTGTGGATATCTGGATGCATTTGGTGGTGTTAAATAATATAATTTGTAAGTACTAGGCCAAGTAGAATGGTTGATTTATAATTTGGAATTTTAAAATACAATAAATCCAGGAATTCAATAAAATAAGCAGAGTTGGCCTCTAATAGCATTTTATAGTTTGGCTTGTTTGAAGACTTTCGATTCTGCGCTGAAATAAACATTCCCTTCATGTACAGAAGACTTTTCCCATCCAAGTTCTTCTTCAGCAAAAACGTTCAGTTTCTCTGGTGATATACTCAGGGGGAAATGCACACAGAAGTACAGATCACATTTAACCTTTTGGGATTTCTTATGAGCCTCCTTAGCATGGGCGATCATATGGGCTTGTAAGTGATTGAGGTTAGGGCCATAGAAGTCACAATCACTTCTCCGCCCTCGGGTTATAGTGTATCCATTCAAGGCACTCACAGCAACACATTTTCCATTGATGTCGTAACTCGCAAACAGCAGTGAACGATAGGCAATTATTTGAACATTTGATTTAACACCATCTATCATACTCATAGGTTCCCACTCGCTTGTTAAGCTCTTGGCAGGAAATATTTTCCAACCATTTTTACAATCTTCTTCTACGATGGCTTCTAACTCATATGGGGTGATTCTGTATACAGTGGGTTGGTTCATGAAGCAATGAATTTCACAAAGACTTTGTTCGGGAGTTAGTTTGAATGTTTGACGATTCTGAAACAAAGAAAAGACTTAAATAGGTGTTGAATTGAAAGTTCATCTAAGCTTCAATTTTCATTAGATTTATTGGTTCAGTTTTCATATACATGTACTAGATATATTTACCCTTATGTGTTTGATTAGAATTGAAAATTCCTTACCCGTCCTTAACTTCCCTATTTAAATGTTACACTGTTTTATTTAGAGACATATTTTGAATAAAAAAAACTAGGAAAGTCATAATGATATTTATTGTTCATTGATGATAATTATGGAACTTACCCTCTTTTCTATGAAGTTTACTTCACGCTTTTGATGGAATTCTCCATATACTGCAGTGTATACTCTTCTCTCAACACTTGGACATAGGATCTTTATCTGTTCGTTCACATAGTTAATCAGCATCTTAAAATAGCCTTCACCACGGTGCCCAGCTCTTGATCTGCCAGCTTGGCCAATCAATGTTTTTCCTCCATCTACTAGCGTTTGTTGAGAGTATGCCATCTGTTCAAAAGGGGAAAATTTGTTTCAGCATTTTTATGAAAGCAAGAAAGTAAATCCCAAAATCTTATCTTCCCACACAATTAGACTAACTCAAAATATAAGAACATGATGGCCAAAATTTGAATATGCCTTATTCAAGTCTAAAGATACTGTCTCAAGTTACAGGTAGTCAGGATTTAGTCAATTTTTTAATTACTGAAGAATATCCCCCTAGATTATTCAGAGCCATTCAACTACATACTAGTATTTGATAAACTTGGGCTATTTATCGGAATACATTGTCTCTAGTGTACAAGGTATAAATCAATAGAAAAATCTACTTACAACCTTCCCATTATCCTCACATAGGAAACAGAACCTATTTGGTTGTTGCATGTAAAGTGGATAGTTGGCATCTAAATAGTCTATTCCATTGAACACCATGTTGTCCATCTCTATGATTGCCTTGTGGTCTTTCATAGTGGCCCTCCTACATATTGCTGTTCTTGACATGATGGATGCCTGCAAACTTATATTTTAATATTTTTGAGTCCAATTTTGTATTACTTGTGCATCATCTTTTGGCAATGTAACTGATCAATATTTCTTAGGATGGTACATCTGTTTATTTGGCAGTGATATAATAATGGTCATTGTTTACTTGATCTTAGCGACAAAAAGATAACTGTACCTTTTTTGTTTTGTATCTGAGGTGTTCCTGAATGTTCCATTCGGTGTGTTTGTATTAACTTTGTACACTCCTGTACATAATATAGATAACATACACTGATAAGAGAACAGAAGTGCTTTTAAAGGTTAGCCTGAACAAAAGAGACATGAACCTGTTAGTATATGAAGAGATCATTAACCAAATGTAAATTATCTCAACCTTAATACTAATTTTAAACATGTAACTTCTGCTTGGCTACCTTTAATACTTGCTTTTAAGTCACTTTCTATTACATTTTTATGGACGTTGTTAGGTGTCTGTAACAAATGGCAGGTGCAAAGTGAGTCATTTTCTCCAGTGATATTGTCTGATGGAAATAAGCACAGAAGTATAAATCACAGTTTGCCTTCTTGGAGTTCTTGTAAGCCTATGGTGCAATTAATTCGACTTTGCTTCTTAAAAGAGAGCTCCATCTTCACTCTTTCAGTTTACAATGAATCTCTGAACTCACTGAGCCATTCAGAGTTCAGAGATGAAATACGGATGACTTTCTATATATGCTCATTTTCTCCGACATCATTCCTAGTTAATGAGCACACATTTAGCATGTGTTCCTTCCAGCCCATTGATTGGTTGAGAAAAGATTAGCGTGTTAGGTTTGAAATGATTTATGACTTGGACTGTCACAGGCATAGGTTGTGGGGCGGGGCTACTAAACTGTAATATAGTCTCTGTACTATATAATGATGTCATGAATATCAGAGTCTCGAGTGAGATCTGTTGACCTGGCTACATGTAACTATAACAACCTCCTCTACCCAATCCAGGAGCAACTTTAGAAAAGGTACATTTTACTTCAGATAATAAAACATTAGACATTTTGGAGTTTAGATCGACGATTTATACAGAAAAGTATTTGTTAATCCAAATACAATTCATAGGTTGTTCTATACAGCGAATTATTTGCAGTACCTGAATGCCAAAAGCAATTCAAAAAACAGTTAAATCTGTGGAGGTGGAATGCCTTTGGTACCTCATAGTAGTGTTTCACTTTGAAGCCTTCATTTACAGAAGTGTTCCATTTGATAGTTTTAGGCCAAGAGCTGTATTGTACTGTACTATTGTTATAGTCACATTGCAATACAATGTATGCCAGCAGTGGAGACGATGGGCTCAATTGCTGTATCATATTGCAATTGAACGACGATACGGCAATTGCCGTATCGTCTTATTTTAATTCCAAACGCGCATGTCTAGCAACTCAGCGCTATTAAAGCATAATATGGCAATTGCCGTATCGTGCGTCAATTTTATTAAGAGTATTTATTTTTTATTATCGCCCAAATACAACAGCTCTGGAAGGTCTATTAACATGACTCAAGCAAATATTATAATTCGAAATTCAATTTTACGCTGGTTAAAATTAAAAAGTCATTTTTATACTTTCTAGGCTCCAGCGTAGTGCAATACTTAAATATAATCAATACTGCGCTTAAGACTGAAACACCAATCTTTGAAATACATTTTTATTTCTATTGAAAGTATGATGTTTGATATCTCAAACGCACTGAGACAACCAATTTTACTTTGGATAAACAATATTCAAAATTAGGTTTAGCATTTAAATCACTGATTTTTAATTACGAAAATAGACTGAACCTAGTATCAACAAGATATATCAATTATTAGTCAGTTAGTATGGCCAGTATATTTAATCAAAACATTGTCGATTATATTATGCGATACTGTTTATTTGCGATATGAAATCTGTGAAAGATTCAGTTAAAAAGATTTTTCCTTGGGAAATGGGAAGGAAAGGGAAATGGTAGAATATTTGTCATTATCCACGAAAAAACAAAACTTAGTAGTAGATCTATTGCGCCGTGGTAGATCGCTATAAAAACGTTCTTGGCAGTCTAATGTGCATGAAGGCATATAGTTTGACAAGTATTACGGAACCAAATACATGAAATAAAGTCTTCTTTGCGCATTTGCAATTGCAATAAAGGTTTCAAGAATTTCTTTATAATTATGAGTTTATTACTGTATGTATTTGAATGAAGTTTGTATGATGTACATGTCATTCCTCCTCCTATGTTGAAGCTGAGACTATACATATCTAATTGCGGGTGGCGCGACACGGGAGATACAACTCTCGGATAAAGTTTAAAATTCCTTTTATCTGTTTATGTTAGTCTCAGGTTGAAGTAAGTAGGTTTTCGGACGCAAATTTCCGCTGTAATATAATTACGAATTGAGGCTTAATACTAGTAAATGGAAATGATCAAATATGTATCAACATTTTTCAATCTGCGTGGATTCCATGAAAGTACACGTAACGATTCATACCTGTATGAAGTATGCTGAAACGGCCGAGATCTGCTTATATATTGATACATGCGCGGCCTTGACAGAGCAAACCTACTAACCCACATACGTGTGCTACTAACCTAGATACGTCTAGCTAATTTGTAGTGACCAAATTGCGAGAAAACTGAGGAAATAGAAGGTAAAGGCGATTTCTCGAATTCCAAGTTTCACATAAGAAATCCTGCGTTCTGATTGGCTGGCTTTCTAGCAGTCCCAATCCACTTTAGCTCTCCAAAATCTCGCCATTTTAGAAATGACACTTTTCGGTCTTTTTCTCCGCCATTTCTCGGTCGATTTCTAAAAGCATAATGTCATAGTGAAGCTGACAAAACCAGCTTCCAAATTGTATCACTTTTGAAGCGATCCATGTGCAATATAGATAGGTTGAATTCGAGCGTGAAAAAGTTTCTCCATAATCGAAGATTCACTTGAGAAATACTGAGGAATCGGGCATTCTGATTGGTCAGTTTTCCTGCATTCTCAAGTCACTTTCCCGACTCTAAACTGAGTTTCTAGAAATGGCACTTGCTACATACGTCTCTTGGTTTTGTTTCTGGGCGAATTGGTTGCTGGACGAAATTATCCAGGCAGCATTGTCCGTCTTAGCCTTGCCCAAGTCGGTATTTTTTTACTCATCTGATCTTGAATTATTACCGCCTTGTACAATCCAATACACCTGCGCTGATATTATGCAGAGTTATTCAACGGTTTCGAGATTTCCATAATACCTATGCTATCAGGGATATCGCGAAACCTTATTGATTAACAGATATACGCGTGGACACGACGTGTGACTTCAGGCTGATTGACCAATCAAAACGTTATCAGGTTGACCTGCATACGTGTAAGCAAAGCAATCTTCCCGATTTGAAATTCAATGATCTGATCGATCGTTTCTTTAGAGTTACAATATATTATGTAATTAAATGTACTTAGTGAATGTAAGAGTCATTAATATAAATTAAATCATGCAATAGATTTAAAACTGATTTCGCGATGAAAATGCAAGACCGAGTCCAATCATGTAGTCGATCAGTGATTGAATCTCAGCCTACATGTTCATTTGAATTCAGCGATCGTTTCAACGTTTATTGTTGAAATCTTCTCAACTCCAGTTACCGATCGATGCTCCGGCATCCACTAAACTCTGATTGATATTTATCTGATAAAACATTTGTATTTTCATGATGAATTCATGCAAGATTTGTTCGTGAAAAGTCCCGGCGAAAAGTAAAAAGTGTACTTGTTTTTGACCGTGCATAATAATGAGCTAACGCTGCAGGGCCGTCATTGATTGGTCAAATTTTACCGACATAAACATTGAGTCGGTAAAGCACGTGGCTTTCTCTTTGGTACAAGGCGGTCATAATAGAAATCAAGATAGTAAAAGAGACCGACTTGGGCAAGGCTATGTCCGTCTGAGAACAATGGTAATGCGAACGGTACTTAGTACTTTGAACGCGATCTAGTAATGACTTAAAGCCGAGACTTTTATACCTAAAACGTCAGTGTAAAGGATGAATCAAACCCAAAATGCATGCAGGAAGACTATGTTATTTATAAAAACGATAAAATTAAAATGAAAACCTGTCTGGTTTCATGTTATTCTCGCCTCTGGAATGTCTGAAGAGCACCTTAGCCCCCAAAGTACGTTTTGTCTTTTGCCTAAAATAAGTGAAACTTTGAGAACCCACGGGAGTAATTGCACACGGCAGAATTTAAATGCACGTGAGGAAAAGTTTATTTTATATATGTTCTTCTAATATCAATAAAAAAATTCATGCCATCTCTTTATTTAATATTGCCGAAATTAAGTACAAGGAGGGTCTGTTGCAATTTCACAATTTCAGGGATTTCAGGTTGTAATCGGCCCTTGTGCACTGGAGTAGAAATAAACGATATCTAGGACAAAATATTTCATGTCATTAAATAAACCCCCTATTTATGGAAAATACTTTAAAATTGTACTTACTATGGATGTTATATGATTTAATATGAATTTGAAGTCCGGAATTGTTTAGATTTTTAAAAGATAACCGTTATTACAAATAATGACGTTCTATACGGCAATTGCCGTATCGCCGTTCAAATGCAGTATGATATGGCAATCGAGCCCATCGTCTCCACTGTATGCAGTTCATGTTTAAGATTTGAAAACATCTAGAGAAGCAATGTTATTTTCCTATACCAAAAGTTGTAAATACTCATTGTAATTATTACGCATTGTGGGTGCATTTACTGGCATTAAATGTATAGTATTTAGTCTTTTAGACACTAGGCCAAGTAGAATGGTTCATTCTTAATTTGGACTTTTAAAATACAATAAAGCCACATAGTTTAGACATGATTATCTTATATATGACAAGAATTGACACTTATAGCAATTTATAATTTAGCTTGTTTGAACACTTTTGCTACTGCACTAAAATAAACATTTCCTAATACAGAAGACCTTTCCCATCCAAGTTCCTTTTCTGCAAAAACATTCAGTTTCTCTAGTGATATGCTCAGGGGGAAAGCCACACAAAAGTACAGATCACAGTTAATCTTTTGGGATTTCTTATGAGCCTCCTTAGCATGGGCAATCATATGGGCTTGTAAGTGATTCGGGTTAGGGCCGTAGAAGTCACAATCACTTCTCTGTCCTTGGCTTGTAGGGTATCCATTCAAGGCACTCACAGAAACACATTTTCCATTGGTGTCGTAATTTGCAAATAGCAGCGATCGATATGCAATTATTTGAATATTTGATTTGACACCGTCTATCATACTCATAGGTTCCCACTCACTTATAAAGCTCTTGGCAGGAAATATTTTCCAACCATCTTTACGATCTTCTTCTACTATAGCTTCAAACTCATATGGTGTGATTCTGTGCACTATGGGGTGGTTCATGAAGCAAGGAATGTCACGAAGACTTTGTTGGGGAGTTAGTTTGAATGTTTGACGATACTGGAACAAACAAAATGGTTAAATAGGTGTTGAATTTGACTTTGACTTTTATTTGGATGCTTTTCATGACATTAGTTGATACTACTGAACATCAAATCAAAATGACCGAGTCATGAAAAGATTGACAATTACCAATGTGCCAGTAGTTAGTTACCAGTTTCACCATTAGGTGGCTTATTCGTATGAACTAACATGACAGATATATGAAAAAGTTCCTCTCAATTATGATTTTCATTAGATATATTGAATTGGTTTGATATAACCCTTTTGAGTTTGATAATCATAAAATTAACAATATCTAATACATGTTCTTTTCTTAGTGCCCTTTACTTCCCTGGCCCTATTTAAGTGTTAGACTGTTTTATTTAGAGACATATTTTAAATAATGAATGTGTAAAATCATAATGATATTTATTGTACATCGATGTTAATTATGGAACTTACCCTCTTTTCTATGAAGTTTACTTCACGCTTTTGATGGAATTCTCCATATACTGCAGTGTATACTCTTCTCTCAACACTTGGACATAGGATCTTTATCTGTTCATTCACATAGTTAATCAGCATCTTAAAGTAGCCTTCACCACGGTGCCCAGGTCTTGATCTGCCAGCTTGACCAATCAATGTTTTTCCTCCATCTACTAGCGTTTGTTGAGAGTATGCCATCTGTTCAAAAGGGGAAAAGGGGACATGCCATTAAGAGGCCATTCTCTGACTTAGTCATTTTTTCAAAAGTGTGAAAATAAAAAAATTCATGAAAAGTTCTTAAAATATTCTGAATAACAAGTTGAATATATATATTTAATGATGGCACAAGCAAAAGTCTGAAAATTAACATGAAATGAAGGGTTTTGACAGATGCAAAAGATGGTAGATTTGTGATGAAGAAATAGAGATTTTTGCAGTAACAACACAATTACCTCCAAGTTATCCGTTATGAGAGGCTGAGGACTAAACTTGACATAATTTTCAATCTCAGATTATCAGTAGTATCTAACTTAAGCCGGACAGCCACTCTAAATGTATATGGAGCCCATAAGATTCATTTTTCTCAATCGGAGTCACTATTTCTGTTTTTAGCTTCAGAGGATAGGAGGTACATGAACATGTTTAGTTTTCCTAGATCACAAGCCTTACCACAAATATAAAGTGTATAGGAATAGAGTTGATATGTGTGAAAACCTTAAACTTCCCATTTTATTGGGGATGGAACTTGTGGACCATGTGTATTTCTAACTTCTTCACATGTGCATGGATCTAAAATTGTGGCAGCCATCTTGGATTTGTCATATTATGTGGACATGGTTTTGGTTGTGCTGAATTTGTTTCAAAATAACATTTCTTGTATACCTTCGATAAGTGAGATAGGCATTTGAAATTAAATACAGATAGTATACTTGACATTTAATGCAGTAAACAGTAATACAATTTATTCTTACATAATAAGTGAGTCCAGACAAAAAGTTGTTACTGTGTTAGTTTAACTGGGCATAAATTACACTCATTGGCCTTGGTTTTCTTAATTGGCTTGGATAAAATGTTGTTCTGTTTATTCAGAAAAGGAGTATAGTTCAATATCCAAGTTCACATTCGTTCCATCCTCTTGTAGAAATGAATCTCATATTATTTCATCTCAAATAGAGAACACAAAAATATAATAAAAAACAAGTTTCTATTAATTGCAAAAGTTAGCTTCTATGTCATGACTGAGTTTGGGTTCCACTTCTAGGGAAAAAATATCCATCTGGAAATATCGTATACACTCCATATTTCATCCTCCCAGTAAATAACATTGATATACAGTATACAAGTATATATGACATTGAGGATCTGGGGTTTGGGTAATGTGAGACATGAGGCCACTTGTCTTTTTGAATCTCATATTCAATATTCTTCCTTTAAACCCTCATATTTAATATTTTTGGAGTGGTAATTCAATTATGTACATATTTTTTATTCTTTATCCCATAGTTGAACTCTGTTCTGCTCTGTTAGGTAACATGAAAACATATTTATGATATTTTGCAAATGCGTGGAAAAAGTGATATCTGTGGAATACGGAAAATATTTCACAGATATCACCTTTTGGCAGGGATTTGAAAACTACCACCAATATGATGTGTTTTGTTACATAGTGATTTCATGACATCACGGGGATGAATGAATGAATGGATGTTGTTTTGATATGCTTTGTTTAGTTTTAGAGGTGAACTTTGGTTAAAATAGAACATCCTATGAATTTTCGTGATATTGTGTTAATCCAACTCATTGATATCAATATCTGCGCTAATTCGCTATGCTAACTTGGCAAGATATTGATATCACCTCGGAGATAAAGATGAAATCATTTAAAATCATATGATATCCTATACATATCCTTTACTGTGCCACAACTTTCTTATATGTTATATATTTTGGCACAGGCCATCATTTATTTTCCTTGAATTCATGCTTTTGTTCCTCGTTTTAGAAATGAGAGGAAATCTTTGATTTTCCTTGTATTTAAGTTGCTTAAATGTTGCCCTGTGATAATTGATAAAATTCAATAGTAATCCATTACATTCACAGTTGAAATGTACCCATTCCTAGCCCAGAACCTACCAAAATAGCATTTGCATTTTGTCAATATTGCCCTATGTGCTTTTCCATGAAAATAATTTTAATCGTATCTTTTCTTCAGTATTTCATATATTACATTTTAATATATTTAAATTGGTTAATATTTATATACTATTTACTTAGACAACAATAAATAAAGAATTTTTTGTAAAAACACCAAAAATGGTATATGATCTTTAAATGACTGTTGTGTGAACATCAAAGGTCAAAATTCGCTGAAATTGTATTTTTATAAAGCACAAATGATTATTCTTCAATATGATATGCATTATTATCATATATCTTTGGGGGCTAAAAAGGGCCCTTAATGACACCTGTCCTTTGTTTCGTCATTTTTTGTGAAAGTAAGTCCCAAAATCTTCACACAAAACTAACTCAAAAAATAAGTACTAGTGCATGATGGCCAAGAATTATATACGTCTTATTCAAGCCTAGAGATACTGTTTCAAATAAAATGAAAGTAGTCAGGATTTCGTCATTTTTTTAATTACTGAAGAATTTCCCCCTAGATTATTTGGAGCATTCATATATTAAATTAACTCTGGCTATTTATCAGAATACATTGTCTCTAGTCTACTAGGTGTTAATCAAAAGAAAAATCTACTTACAACCTTCCCATTATCCTCACATAGGAAACAGAATCTGTATGGTTGTTGCATGTAAAGTGGATAGTTGGCATCTAAATAGTCTACTCCATTATACACCATGTTGTCCATCTCTATAATAGCCTTGTGGTCTTTCATAGTGGCCCTCCTACATATTGCTGTGCTTGACATGATGGCAGTCTGCAAAATATGTTGTATTATTTTTGAATTCTTTTTCATTTTTGCATCATCATTTGGCTATATTACTGACTTATATCGCCTTATCAACATTTTCTAGTGTGGTACGTCTCTTTATTATTTCATATGGTATATCATTGTCATAATAATGATAATGGCTATTGTGTAAAAGCTATATTTTTTCATTGACATGTTTGATCTTAGAGAAAAATAGATTACTGTACCTTTTTTGTTTTGAATCTGAGGTGTTCCTGAATGTTCCTTTTTGTGTGTATGTATTAACTTTGTACACTCCTGTACATTATATAGATTAGGCAAAAGCCCAGTTCATACACTGATAGGAAAACATAAGTGCTCTTAAGACTGAAAGGAATTTGAACCTGTTTGATTATGAATAGAAACTAAGCATGTCTCTTCCATAAGTGGTGACATTGTTATAGTCTCATGGACAGTGTTTGCCATTTTGCATCTGTAACAAATGGTAGGTGGTGGAATTTTGCATGTCAATGCCTTGTTTATCTTAACCTAAAACTCCTGATTCCTGACTCCTAATACCAATTCTTGTTCTTGTTCACTTTTTTATATTGATTAATATTTGTTTGATGTCACCACCCCAAGTGTTACAGCCTCAAACCTTTTTGTTGACTGAGTTTGGGATTCGATGGTTGGTTGTTGGCAATCGGTGGTTGATGTCTGTATCAAATGGCAGGTGGTGACATTTTGCATGTTAATGCCTTGTTAAAAACATGCCTTGCTCGTGATCTTAATGTGACCTTTACTTGACCTTACCTTTTGTTGGTATACAGTACAGTTCATCAGTCTATTTTTGAATGCTGGCTGGACCTACCCTGTGTACAGTCTGCTTATAAACTACCCTCTCCTTAGTGTAGACTATATTACAGTTTAGCAACCCCACCCCCACGACTATTGCCTAAGAATAAACTTAGATATTTCCTTCCTTTATTGAGTGGATGACCTAGATTGCCATGCTATAGTTGCTGTAAGAGTCTTTCCAGTAAAAAGTGTCCATGTACATTACATTTATATGTTAAGCCAGGTCAACATATCTCGCACGAGACTCTATGATATTCACAATATCATCATATATGTCCATGTAAGGGAACTTCACAAGAGGCTCACAAGAAACTCAAGAAGACAAATTGTGATTTGTACTTCTGTGTTTATTTCCCTCATCCAGTCTATTTTGAAAAAGTGCTCGTCAACATAAACAGTGTATTTTGATCATATGAACCAATAGATTTTGAAAATCAAGAGTTCATTTGATGGGTGGGGATTATACTTCCTTAGTGAGTTTAGTGTAAAATTTATTTAAAGTAGTTTAGAGAATTTAGAGAAGTGTTGCCTTGTTTTTTATCTGCAAAGTCAGTCATTTTCTCAAGTGATATTGTCTGAGAGAAATAAACACAGATGTATAAATCACAATTTGTCTTCTCGAGTTTCTTGTGAGCCTCTTGTGAAGTTCCCTTACATGGACATATATGATGATATTGTGAATATCATAGTCTTGTGCGAGATATGTTGACCTGGCTTAACACACAACTATTATGGCCTCCTCTACTCAATTGAGGAGCAACTTTTGAAAAGGTACATTTTACCTCAGATAATAAAACAGATGTTTTGGAGTTTACATGTACAGTACTATTTATTTAGAAAAGGTACATTTTACCTCAGATAATAAAACAGATGTTTTGGAGTTTACATGTACAGTACTATTTATTTAGAAAAGGTACATTTTACCTCAGATAATAATACAGATGTTTTGGAGTTTACATGTACTATTTATTTAGAAAAGGTACATTTTACTTAAAATATTAAAACATTTTTTGATATCTAATGTACCGTTTATTTAGAAAAGTATTGTTGATCCAAATACAATTCAAAGGTTGTTCTATGCAGTACCTGGATGCAAAAGCAATCCAAAATACAGTAAAAACTGGGTAATTTGAATGCCTATGGTACACCAAAGTAGTGTTTCACCATGGAAGTCTCCATTTACAGAGGTGTTCAATTCAATAAGTTTTACTTACAAATACAGGATTTGAGAACATCTAGACAAGCAATGTAATTTTCCTATACCTATATGTGTTTTGTCCTGACTGGTGGTTTATTTGTATGTAGTCTTTTAAATACAAGACCAATACAAGTAGAATGGTTGATTTATAATTTGAACCTAACAGATTCAACAAAGTCAGATGTTCAACAGACAGGAATTCTTAAAATAAGCAGAGTTGGCCTCAAGAAGTATTTCATAGTTTAGCTTGTTTGAAGACTTTTTCTACTGCACTAAAATAAACATTCCCTAATACAGAAGACCTTTCCCATCCAAGTTCTTTTTCTGCAAAAACATTCAGGTTTTCTAGTGATATGCTCAGGGGGATATTCACACAGAAGTACAGATCACAGTTAATCTTTTGGGATTTCTTATGAGCCTCTTTAGCATGAGCGATCATATGGGCCTGTAAGTGATTGAGGTTAGGACCATAGAAGTCACAATCACTTCTCCATCCTAGGGTTATAGTGTATCCATTCAAGGCACTCACAGCAACACATTTTCCATTGGTGTCGTAACTCGCAAACAGCAGTGAACGATATGCAATTATTTGAACATTTGATTTAACACCATCTATCATACTCATAGGTTCCCACTCGCTTGTTAAGCTCTTGGCAGGAAATATTTTCCAACCATTTTTACGATCTTCTTCTACTATGGCTTCTAACTCATATGGTGTGATTCTGTGCACTATGGGGTGGTTCATGAAGCAAGGAATGTCACGAAGACTTTGTTGGGGAGTTAGTTTGAATGTTTGACGATTCTGGAACAAACAAAATGTTTGATAATTAGAGAATTGAAAATTTCTTATTTGTTCTTAAGCCCCTTACTTCCCTATTTGTATGTTAGACTGTGTCATTTATACCCTTTGCATTCGTTTGACTTCACTTCTTAAAAGAGAGCTTCGTCTTCACTCTTTCAAACTAAAATAAACCTGTGAACTCACCGCGCCAATCAGTGTTCGTTGGCCAAATTTGACCGACGTTCTATATATAGTCATTCCTTCTGACGTCACCCTTGAGCCCGGAATCGGCCAATGACATGCGCATATTTAATTAGCACGCATTTAGCGTATGTTTCTTCAAGCTCGCTGATTACATCAGCGCGTAGGTCAGAAGTGATTTATTTCCAAAACTGTCACCGGTATCCGTCGTGGGGGCGGGGCTACTAAACTGTAATATGGTTTATACTAGGCAGAGTGTAGTTTAACTAGACTCTGCACGCAGGGTATGTCATTTAGAGACATATTTTGAAAAATTAACTTGTAAAGTCATAATAATATTTTTTGTACATGGATGTTGATTATGCCACTTACCCTCTTTTCTATGAAGTTTACTTCACGATTTTGATGGAATTCTCCGTATTCTGAATTGTATACTGTTCTTTCAACACTTGGACATAGGATCTTTATCTGTTCGTTCACATAGTTAATCAGCATCTTAAAGTAGCCTTCACCACGGTGTCCAGGTCTTGATCTGCCAGCTTGGCTAATCAATGTTTTTCCTCCATCTACTAGGGTTTGTTGAATGTATGCCATCTGTTCAAAAAGCAGAAAACATATTTCATCATTTTTTTATTGCTATGGAAGCAAAATCTTCCTGCACAATTAACGCAAAAAATAAGCACAAGATGGCTAAAGAACATGTATTGTTCATGCCTTAATATACAGTCTCTATCTACTATAGATTAATTAAAAACATTCTTCAGTTTATTCAGTGCCATTCAAATATTAAATAAACTCATACTATTCGTCAGAATATAATTTCTGATCTACTAGGTATTTCTCAAAAGAAAAATCTACTTACAACCTTCCCATTATCCTCACATAGGAAACAGAATCTGTATGGTTGTTGCATGTAAAGTGGATAGTTAGCATCTAAATAGTCTACTCCATTGTACACCATGTTGTCCATCTCTATGATTGCTTTGTGGTCTTTCATAGTGGCCCTCCTACATATTGCTGTGCTTGACATTGTGGCAGCCTGCAAAGGACAATTTTCTGTTTGGAGAACCAAATTCATCTGCATATTTCGACTTTATTAATGTCGCCAAAGATTTTCATATTTTTATGTATTATAAATTTTATGTCATATTTTGTATATTCTTTAGTTTTGATAATGGTAATGTTTTTAGTTTTTTCATAAAAAGAATACTAGCATCCCCCCCCCCTCCATTGTTTTAATGATTCCAACCAACTTTTGAACAACACGCATTGCATAATTCTGTTGGACAGATGTAAGAAAATTAACAGATAATGTACCTTGTTATAACCATATCATGAAAAACATTAACAGATAATGAACCATGATATCATTTGTATATCCTTATTAAAGATATTGAAAAACAATAAATTCTTAAATCGTGGCTAACAGAATGATGAATATGAGTGATATAATAATGGTCATTTGTAAAAGCCCTGTGTTTTAATTGATCTGTTTAATCTGAGAGAAAAATGAACTTACTTTACCTTTTTGTATCTGAGATGATCCTGAATGTTCTTTATAATGCACATGTATAACTTCACTCTACTATACCTAACGCCTAGAAATGCATAAGATACTCTGTTTGTCCAATTGTATTGTTTAGTATATTTTTGAAAGTACCTTATTACATCTAACGTCATCCGATAAACCATTCATAAGGAACACACAAATAAAAACAAATAACATAATCATTACTAATAAGCCAAGTGGGTTGCTTATGAACACCAAATGCAAGGTATAGTAGAGTAAACTCTGTATATGCATGTACTGTTCATAATACATGTATAAATTAAACATAAGGTCACTTCATATGCTGATAAGAGAATAGACATGCTCTTTATAAGGTTAGCCTGACTGAAGGAGATGTGAAACTGTTTGTATATGACATTAGATCATGGTTTTGGGATACACTGGTTGTTTTTTTGACTGGTGGTTTACACTTAAGTTTGCATTTTCTTGCTGGGTTCCATTGCAACTTTTGGTCCTTTCCCTTTTGAACTTGTGCTTAGATATTCATTCACCATATGTAATTTATTTATCTTGACCTAAATACTCACTTTTGTAATTTCTGCTTGGCGGCTACCTTTAATTCTTGTTATAAAATCACTTTCTATTATATTGATTACATGTGATGTAACTTATACTATACTGTACTTGTTTTAAACATGTAAATTCTGCTTGGCTAAATTTATTTCTTGTTATAAAATCACCTTCCATTATATTAATGTTTTGTTTTTCTGCATTGTATAAAACATGCCTTGTTCATGTTATTTCCCTTTAATAGATCACCTTATGATTACTGACCCAGCTTCCAGACCTGATATCACCCTAGACCCAGAGAACCCTTGTGCCTGACCAGTATGCTTAGTATGCACCTATATGCTCTTTTATATTGCTGAATAGCAATTAAACAGCTATTGTTGTAACATATTATTTTGGTCTAAATAAAAATTGAATAATAAAAAAAATAAAAATGGCTTATTTGAAATCAGGGTTGGATGTATTTGATACTAAAAAATAACGGCATTTTAAAAGTACTGTATTTTTATTTGTTTCAAACTACTTACATTCAGTGGATGTATACAAAATACAAATTGACTGATTATTTAAATTCACAGTTTAGCTTGTCTGGGCAGTGGTCTCTCTGCAGTTATATAAACATTCCCATCATGTATATCACTAATCTCCCAACCTAGTTCTTTATCTGCAAAGTCCGTCATTTTCTCCAGTGATATTGTCTGGGGGAAATAAACACAGAAGTATAAATCACAATTTGCCTTCTTGGATTTCTTGTGGGCCTCTTTAGCATGGATGATCATATGGGCCTGTAAGTGATTAAGGTTAGGACCGTAGAAGTCACAATCACTTCTTTGCCCTAAGATTATTGGGATTTTGTTCAGGGCACTCACAGCAACACATTTCCCATTGGTGTCGTAACTTGCAAAGAGCAGAGAACGGTAGACGATCATTTGGATATTTGATTTGACACCATCTATCATACTCATTGGTTCATATTCACTAACCAAACTCTTGGAGGGAAATATTTTCCAACCATTTTTACGATCTTCTTCTACTATGGCTTCTAACTCATATGGGGTGATTCTGTGTATTATGGGGTGGTTCGTAAAATGAGGAATGTCATCAAGGCTCTGTCGAGGAGGTAGTCTGATGATTCTGCGATACTGAAATAACCAGAATGTAATATTTTTGCTATTATGTTATGGTATTAAAGAAAAATTATTTAATGAATAAAGATTGAGATTCTATGATATATGGCGCTATTTATGACAGATCGCTCATTGTATTTACCCTAGTCTCAATGAGTTTAGTTCCCTCTATTCCCTGTTCTACCCGATCCTTTTGGAAATCTCCATAAAGAGCAGTGTACACAATTCTGTCAGCACTTGGGCATAGAATCATCATCTGATCAGTCATGTAGCTTCTTAGCATCTTGAAGTAGCCTTCCCTGTGGTGCCCAAGTCTTGATCTGCCAGCTTGGCGAATCAGCGATTTTCCACCATCTATCAATGTTGCTTGAATGTACGCCATCTATTTAGAGAGTAGAAAGTAGAAAATGCAACATTTGAATGGAAATCTCAATGCAATCTGAATACAATATCAAATAGATATTTGCCATTTAATTGTCTAAATCGTAGCCATAAGAAATAGAATTCACAATATTAATGTAGAAAAATGAATTTACCACTTTTCCATTGTCCTCACAGAGAAAGCAGAACCTATATGGTTGCTGCATATATAGGGGATAGTTGGCATCTAAATAGTCTAGGCCATTGAAAACCATGTTGTTCATCTCTATGATTGCATTATGGTCTTTCATAGTGGCCCTCCTACATATTGCCATGCTCGGTATGGAAGCTACCTGCAAGGCATATAATAAATACATGTACTATCTAAATATATAATTTTTATTCCATTTATTCTTGTTGACTATAATTAATGTGGCCAGGTATGATAAATCAATGATTTGTCATCAATTTTGCCATGTTATAAGGTTCACTCACATATGATTTGAAATTGATTGATAAAAAGAAAACACATTCGTTGATGGCATGTAGTTGCTACAGTGCTGGGTAGACACTGATAAAAAGCATAAATTCATAATATATGCACACTTGAGTAGTTGTATAGATAACAACATGTATATGTTTTCTTTGGTTTTGACCTCGTAACAATAAAATAAATAAAAATATACTTACTTTATGGATGAACCTGTTGCTGAATGCTTGCTTCTTTGTCAATGCATTTAACTTCCTATGCAATAAAAATCTAAATGAACCAGCCATTATCAACATACAGACTGGTAAGGCATTCAGTTAAACACTACCACAACATTAGCACAATGAAATGCTAGCCAGATTTCTTAGATTTTAATGTGCTCTAGCAGCTAGGCTAGCTAGTTACGGTTACAACTGGACTGATATATGACGTTTATCTGGTTTAAGAATCAGCATAGTCTGGTTTTCCTAGTCCAGATTTATGTCAAACTAAGATGAAGCTAGGATGATTAATTGCCTTGATCTTAACTTTAAGTTCATAACCTTCTGCTTGGCAAGAAAACTTACTCAAGAGGGAAAAATACTGAAATCTGGCATTAACAAATTAGACTCCAGATTTGCAATCGCGAGTCAATCTTGAGTTCATATTATATTTTAAGTTACGCAAATAAAAAGATCTTTATCCTCCTTCAAGTATTGAGTTCAATGAAATTTTCAATGTTTGAGAACAAAATGTAATAATAATAGATAAAGACTCTCCAAAGTGCGCCTGTGGATTAACCTCTGTATTGTTGAGCAAACAAAGGTCAGCACTATTTGTCCAAGGGTTTGAATATTCCATTGTAAAGGGAAATGGATCAGGAATATGGATATAATAACAATACCAAAGTATGCATGGTACAAAGTTGAATAAGTATTGCTTTAATATGAACAGTGGGCAATTTTGACATTTTTCTTAGTCCAAAACATTAAAATGAAGGAAAACGAGGGGGTAGCATTTTTTCCAAAGTGCACTCTGGCCTTAAGTGGCCAAGTTGAATAAACAGTTATATCATAATATATAAGTTGTATATATCTTAAGTTCATTATCTTAGTTCATTACTTATTTTTTTGTGTATGAAGCAGCATGAGATAGAAGTGACAGATATTCATTTTAGGGCCAGTGCTTCCTTAGGCACTGCCTTTAAAGTTCCCATATCCATAACAGTAGCATTGATGCCTTATATCTCTAGCAGAAATTCTACATAAAAAATAAAAGGAACCGTTTTTTAGAGTTCATTTTATCTCCAAAATCAGTTTATTTATGCAGATTTTGGGTCAGTCATTTACAAATACTATTTTCAATATATGTTATTATGTTGACTAAAATTGGAAAAATGGGAAAATTATCTAAGTTCACAGTTTAGCATGTCTGGTCAGTGGTCTCTCTGCAGTTATATAAACATTCCCATCATGTATATCACTAATCTCCCAGGCTAGTTCTTTATCTGCAAAGTCAGTCATTTTCTCCAGTGATATTGTCTGAGGGAAATAAACACAGAAGTATAAATCACAATTTGCCTTCTTGGATTTCTTGTGGGCCTCTTCAGCATGAGCGATCATATGGGCCTGTAAGTGATTCAGGTTAGGACCATAGAAGTCACAATCACTTCTTTGCCCTGGTGTTATCGGGAATCCATTCAAAGCACTCACAGCAACACACTTCCCATTGGTATCATAACTTGCAAATAGCAGCGATCGATATGCAATTATTTGAATATTTGATTTAACACCATCTATCATACTCATAGGTTCCCACTCACTTGTAAAGCTCTTGGCTGGAAATATTTTCCAACCATCTTTACGATCTTCTTCTACTATGGCTTCTAACTCATATGGGGTGATTCTGTGTACTATGGGGTGGTTCGTGAAATGAGGAATGTCATCAAGGCTCTGTCGAGGAGGTAGTCTGATGTTTCTGCGATACTGAAATAACCAGAATATGCTGTTCATTTTATGTCATTTGATATTGGTTCATTAATTAATTGAATTTAAAAATTATTAATTGAAATGATGAGCAACAAGATATAGTAGGCTTAATTCATATTATTCTTTGTTCGTGAGAAATAAAGATTCTTATCCTATGCCAAGTAGAGTTTTCGGGAGATAAGTTGGTCAGATATATCCCGTATCCTGATTTTGAGGTTTCCATATCCAGAACCTCCATATCTCCCGCTTCGGTGCATATCTTCCCGCTTCCGGTGCATATCTTCCCGCTTCCGGTAATGCAATAAAATGACTTGATTTGTTTATTTTTACACCTTGTACTGTTGAAATGGCCATATGCCCCTGAAAACTCTACTTGGTATAGGATAAAGCATTTATGTACGGTCGGTTTGGATATTGGGTTCATCCCTCGTGAGGTATGCACATCTACCTTCGGTCCCTCAATCCCTCAGGTAGATATGCATATCTCCCTCTGGATAAACCCCATATCCAAAACCTCCCAGTACATAACCCTTATATATTTAGTCCTTACTGTGTTTAACCTCTTGACAACCTGAAGTGACGAGATTTCTTGTCACCTCAGAACTCGAAACCCAGAGTGACGAGAAAATCTGTCACAAAATCTTTCACTAAAATTGCTCTTATTTGAACAATTTTTATTATCCAATTTACACAAAAATTGTTTTAAAATGTGCAGAAATGATCTCTGCCATCTAACTTTTTTGTTGTATAGGTATGAAGTTCAAAGTTGTATAGGTATGTTGTAAAATGTCAAAAGGTGGCAAAAATGAAAAATTCTCTGGTTTCAACCGATTTTAGAGCCTGGATTCGACTCAACAGTATTGGACTTATGTTTCAATTGTATTGACTCTAGTTTTAGTCGTATTTGTTTCAATTATTTTTACCCTAGTTACCTTCCAGAGGTATTAACCCTAATTTTAATGGCATTTACCCTAGTTTCAATGAGTTTAGTCCCCTCTGTTCCATGTTCCATACGATCCTTTTGGAAATCTCCATAAATTGCACTGTACACAATTCTATCAGCACTTGGGCACAGAATCTTCATCTGATCGGTCATGTAGCTTCTTAGCATCTTGAAGTAGCCTTCCCCATGGTGCCCAGGACTTGACCTGCCAGCTTGGCGAATCAGCGATCTTCCATCATCTATCAATGTTGCTTGAACATATGCCATCTATTTAGAGAGTAGAATGTAGAAAATGCAACATTTTTTTATAAATCATTTTATTTAACCTAGAGGGCCAGAGTTATTATAACTACAGGGTGACACAAAAAAGGACACCCACCTTACGTAGTTTTTGTCCTTTGGCACATTTAAAGTAGACATAATGCGAAACATCCAGAAAGTTCAGATGTGTAGCTTAAGTGGCTCAAATTTTATGAGCGTTTCAAGATTTGCTGTAAACATCACCCATCCCTCTGCAGGCATACCTGGATTCTACACAAAAAATGCCACCTACCTTTTGTAACATAAATTTGTAAATACTAAAGATTTTTGCTTGTGCCTTCAAAGAAAGAAAGTCCAATCAATTAATCACAAAATGATATAATTGTCATTGATAAAATCATTATAACTTTTTTCCAAAATTTGTTACAAAAGGTGAATGTTATTTTTGTGGTGTACCTGTAAAGGAATAGACTACACATCTCTTGTATCACTCATAAATCTGCATTTAGTTGTGCTAGTCACCTGGAACTTCTTTTGGAGTTGTACCATGGATGCTGAGTTTTTTGTGCCATAAAACAAATCAGAATTTTTGCTCACAAAAAAGTTATGCAACATTATGTGGGTGTGTGTCATTTTGGTGTCACCCTGTACTTTATCTCTCTAGGGATCGTAATACAAATATATGTTTAGTACATGATATAGTAAGTGGTTACACAAAACGATGAGTACAAGTGTCTCCTAATGCAAAATTTAAATCTTTAAATCTTAATCTCAAATGGATATTTGATAGCCATAAAAATAGTATTCACAGAGGGACATGGGGTATAAATAGGAGGCACACTTATGGAAGTGCCAAAATAAGTGGATTTTTGATATTTTAATAAAGCTGCTCAATTTTCTCAGATTTCATATTGATTGAGAAAATGTATTGCTTCAAATTTTGTTTTGTGTATCTTTCAATGGTTTGATGTTCATATTCGGTAGTTAGATTTTAACTTCATCATTTTGTTTGGTTGTAATAAGACATTTAAAAACAGAAAGAACATTTTTTAAATTTAAAAGTCCTCAAGCTTAGCAAATCAAAATCAAGTATTAAGCAATGCTGACAATTAAACTTACTAATCCTGACTTTCAGTGCCATGTTAAAGTGTGGCTGTAACCTGATATTTTAATGGGAGTGTCTAGCAACTTTAATAAAAGTGAAAATGTTTTCTTACAACTTTCCCATTATCCTCACATAGGAAACAGAATCTGTATGGTTGTTGCATGTAAAGTGGATAGTTAGCATCTAAATAGTCTAAACCATTGTACACCATGTTGTCCATCTCTATGATTGCCTTGTGGTCTTTCATGGTGGCCCTCCTACATATTGCTGTGCTTGACATTGTGGCAGCCTGCAAATTGTGAGAGATATTAGTTAGGCAAATGAGAATCAAAGAATGAAGCTCTTTGTCCCAGGGTTTGAATATACCATTGGAAAGTATAAGGTAAATGTATGCTTACAGAATTGATGAAATAGTATGTCCATGGACATGGTGGCACCCTTCATGTAAAGTAAATATCTCAATACATATTAGTATTTCCATTTTAATTGACATTTAGATTTTGACAGGAATTTGTTTTTCCTAGATACAAATCCTTTGTAATTTTTTTTGTGGCACTCAGTTGTGTGTGTGTGTATAATGTATTCACATGCACCGAAGTATGAAAGCATATGTATTCATCTGTACTTTCGCACTAAAGCAAGTATTCATATGCACTTTAGTACCAAAGTGTGTATTCATATTCACTTTAGTACCAAAGTTGGTATTCATCTGTACTTTAGCACTAAAGCAAGTATTCAATATGTACTTTAGTACCAAAGTGTGAATGCATATTAACTTTAGTACTAAAGTGTGTTCATATTCACTTTAGTACTAAATTGTGTATTCACATGCACCGAATCGAAGTATTAAAGCATATGTATTCATCTGTACTTTAGCACTAAAGCAAGTATTCATGTGCACTTTAGTACCAAAGCGTATATTCATCTTTAAGCACTAAAGCGAGTATTCATATATACTTTAGTACCAAAGTGTTTATTCATATTAACTTTAGGACTAAAGTTTTTTCACGTTCATTTCAGCACTTAAACTTGTATTCATATTCACCTTAATGTTTAGTGTGTATTCATATTCACTTTAGTACTAAAGTGTGTATTCATATTCACTAATAGTGCTAAAGCCTGTAATCTGCGCATCTCACATCTCGAAGGTTAAAATAACACCTTTTTATGTCACCACCAAAAGTGGTGACATATTGTTATGGTCTCCGTTTTTTTGCGACGGCGGTTGGCGTCCGGCGTCCGGCGGTTGGTGGTTGGCGTCCGGCGGTTGGCGTCTGTAACAATTTCTTACAACTTCCTATAACATAACAAATACTGTTTAGATTGACTTCAATTTTTTTCTAAATCATCTACATGTTCTCAGAAGTTCAAATCTGACTTTAGATTTGACATTTGACCTTCAATGACCTTCTCAAGGTCAAAAAGGTCTTTTTTCAACTTGCTTCACATTGACTAAATTTTTTTTCAAAATCATCTACATGTTCTCAGAAATTCAAATCTCACTTTAGATTTGACTTTAGATTTGACATTTGACCTTCAAATCTGACTTTAGATTTGACATTTGACCTTCAATGACCTTCTCAAGGTCAAAAAGGTCTGTTTTCAACTTGCTTCAAATTGACTAAATTTTTTTTTCAAAATCATCTACGTGTTCTCAGAAATTCAAATCTGACTTAAGATTTGACTTAAGATTTGACATTTGACCTTCAATGACCTTCTCAAGGTCAAAAAGGTCTGTTTTCAACTTGCTTCAAATTGACTAAAATTTTTTTTCAAAATCATCTACGTGTTCTCAGAAATTCAAATCTGACTTTAGATTTGACTTAAGATTTGACATTTGACCTTCAATGACCTTCTCAAAGTCAAAAAAGGTCAAAAAGGTCTTTTTTCAACTTGCTTCAAATTGACTAAATTTTTTTTTCAAAATCATCTACATGTTATCAGAAATTCAAATCTGACTTTAGATTTGACATTTGACCTTCAATGACCTTCTCAATGTCAAAAAAGGTCAAAAAGGTCTGTTTTCAACTTGCTTCAAATTGACTAAATTTTTTTTTCAAAATCATCTACATGTTATCAGAAATTCAAATCTGACTTTAGATTTGACATTTGACCTTCAATGACCTTCTCAATGTCAAAAAAGGTCAAAAAGGTCTGTTTTCAACTTGCTTCAAATTGACTAAATTTTTTTTTCAAAATCATCTACATGTTCTCAGAAATTCAAATATGACTTAAGATTTGACTTTAGATTTGACATTTGACCTTCAATGACCTTCTCAAGGTCAAAAAGGTCTTTTTTCAACTTGCTTCAAATTGACTAATTTTTTTTTTCAAAATCATCTACATGTTCTCAGAAATTCAAATCTGACTTTAGATTTCACATTTCACCTTTAATGACCTTCTCAAGGTCAAAAAAGGTCAAAAAGGTCTGTTTTCAACTTGCTTCAAATTGACCAAATTTTTTTTTCAAAATCATCTACATCTTTTCAGAAGTTCAAATTTGACTTAACAAGTTCTCAGAAGTTCAAATCTGACTTTAGATTTGACCTTTGACCTTCAAGGTCAAAAAGGTCTTTTTTCAACTTGCTTCAAATTTACTTAATTTTTTTTTCAAAATCATCTACATGTTCTCAAAAGTTCAAATCTGACTTTAGATTTGACATTTGACCTTCAATGACCTTTTCAAGGTCAAAAAGGTCTTTTTTCAACTTGCTTCAAATTTACTTAATTTTTTTTTCAAAATCATCTACATGTTCTCAGAAGTTCAAATCTGACTTTACATTTGACATTTGACCTTCAATGACCTTCTCAATGTCAAAAAAAGTCAAAGAGGTATTTTTTCAACTTGCTTTAAATTGACCAAATTGTTTTAGGTGGTGACATTTTGTCATGTTAATGCCTTGTTGAGCAATGATTTGGTCTACAATGCACTGAACCCAGGGCTTAAATCCTTAATTTATATGCAGTTAGTACAGTATGTTTATTTATGACTATAACTATGTTCTCTTTGGTTTGACTTCATGGTATTAAAAGAAAAATATACTTACTTTATATATGAACCTGTTGCTGAAAGCTCCTTTCTGTGTTAATGTATTAAACTTTGTATACAATAAAAATCTGCATACTTGTCATTGTTTACTTAAGACTGAGACATATAACCTATTTTTCATTAGTTGCTATCACTTGTTTTAGCCTTGCCTATGAAAACATTTTGAGATAAAATAGTTCATATGGACTTAATACAGCCTTTGAATGTACTGTATGTTGTAAGACTAGACTGATCTGTAAAAAGGTTAAACTTTGGTAAAACTGCGATAAATAGTACAGGATCTCATGAATGATATTTAAGTGTTTTTGTGCAACTTCGCTATACCTGCTAGTTGCATAGATAGTTTACAAAAGATAATAGAATTCTGTTGGCATGAATAATATTATATGACCATTTATTTCATTATAAAATATTACCCAGCAAGTTGGGCATTATAAACTGGCCACACTAATCCATGTAATGGATTAGTTTTGCCCAACCAGATATTTATTTAGATGTGCTAAACATTCAAAGAGGCTAACTAAGTTCAAATGGAATAAAATAATTCACCCTTTCACTTAGAATCTCCTTGGAGAGAGTTTGTATATTTAATACTGGGTTCATTGCACACCATGTACGATTGATATCACAATGATATCACATTTTTTGGCGAAATTTAGAATTATTGAACCATATTTGAATTGTTTTTTGAATTTGGCAGGTGTTGCACCATCTTGTTCTTACAGGGGGGGGGGGGAAACTAACGGGCTGGGAGTATTTTGTCATGTTGATGCCTTGTTATAAGGATTGCTTCCAGTATTTTACACTTCTCTTCTGATCATTTATTTTTATTTGCTTTCAGCTGGAAGTGTTATGTATGAGTATGGCATGCGTCTCGGTCGGGAGCTCCCTGGTCTAAAAGGTCTCCAAAGACAAGCAAAGTGTTACCTAGCATGTCTTAATGCATTACGATTGGTCGATCCCAAATATGCCTGGATTGTCAAGCCAGTCCCCAGAGCTAAATCATTGGTAGGATTCTCAATTTTTTTGATTCAAAAATTGCAGCTCTAGATCTCTTCGTTGAAATATTGGTTGTAGTATTCAAAGCACTTAACCATTGAATGTGCAGAATGCTTAATCTTGCTTCAATTCTCTGGACCCCCACCCACCCTTCAAGGTGTAGACACTGTAGTGGAGGGTCTCCAGGGCTTGTAGCTAGACTACATGTGCAGAAATTCAAGCTTTACAAAATAAAGTTTTCTGTAATGTAAAACAATTTGTTATGCATATTTTCATCTGCAAAAAATTATAGTTTATATTTTGCCTGTACACTGTAATATCTGTCATGAAAAAAATGTCTATATTATTCTATTATTTATTTCTATATTAGAAAATATTTATTACACTTTTTCAATTTTTCATAAGCTCACTTTATGTTTCAGTCCCCAGAAGAACCCATACATGGTGTGTCCCCAAAGAGAAACATTGATGGGGAAATTAGAGAAACGATGTGTATGTATCAATTCAATACATATAGCCTACCACTCATATTTTCTTTAAAATAATGGTAGATTTACATGTAACTAATCCCTCATTTGGTACCACTACCCAGTGGTATATATCCTTAACCACTGAGGTAGATTAAGGGGCACATTATTGGCCCAGATTTGTCTCTATCGGTATGTCTGTCAGTTTCAACAACTTATGACACAGAAAGTTGGGCTCTCAAAAAAGGTTGTTTTGAAATTTGATTTAAAGATTCTTGTTTTTTTTCTAAATCTCTATTTATACGAATTTTTTGTTTTTAGAATTGAATATTAGTGTTTCTCTGCAGATTAATTCAATTAGGTAAACATACTTCAATTGAAAAAGAAGTTTCAAAAAAAATTTAAGTTTATTTTCCCTCACCCTTTTTAGCTCATTATCATTGTGTTTTATTTTCAGTAACTCAACGCATTGAACTGTTGGAGTTGCAAGATATTGAAAAGGAATACATGTTGGTTCACAGTAGGCTGTCATTCCACCAAAAGGACCCAGAACCCTCATATATGACTGGTACGTATTATGAGGTTATATCATGGTTGATTCTGTATATCGTGTTTATAGTCAAGTGAGTATATGATATATTCACGCTATCCAGGAGTTGTATATAGTTCTCTAGAGTTGTATACGATGAGTGTTGGTTTTATATTGCAGTTAAATAATGCTATTATACAATCATTTAAAGCACTTAGGGGGGATAAAAACCTTTATTTTATAGTTCTCACATTAAGAGTTGGGTTGATCGGTAAAGGTTCTTCAGTTGAGTTAATCATATTATAAATCAGTATTGCAATGGAGGAACTTTGAATCAAGTTTATAGTAGGGGTGTACAATAGGGGTCTTCCAATACTATCCCCCCCAAAATAGGAAGAAATTGGTCAAATTAACAATAATGTTAGGTATGCACTGGCACAGATAGTCCGAAAAGTATTATTAATCACTATGCAACAAATGGGAGCAGAACCAGTAATAATCTTCAACATCTTTAAAGAAACAAGATTATCCAGCAGGCCTCGAAATTAGCATTGCTAAGGTAGTGATTTGCTACCTGTTTTTCCAAAAACACTACTTGTTAATTCCTCCAACTAGCTAACTTCACTAGCACCTCAACTAGCAACTCTCCATGTGAAAATTTACAGATTTTCAATTGATTTGCCGATCAGCTGATCTTTGTTAATTCTTGTTCGAGCTGAATTCCAATTGCGCAAAACAGACCAATCATAGTCGACTTCATTCTTACTATCAATGAATTGTGTATGTAAATTGCCTTAAAACATAGTTATATCTGGGTAAGTATACATTTATTTACAATGTAATATCTTATTATTGCGCTGCTAAGTCAGAAAAATAAAGAAATCTCTCATCAAAATTATAACTACCTGCTTCTCTGAAATAGCTACCTGGAAAATTCACTAAGTAGTGAAACAACTACCTGATGAAAAAAGTTAAGCGCGAGGCCTGATCCAGTGAATTTCACTAGAAAATATGAATGCCATATGCAGGCTCATATAGAGAACAGCAATGAACAAAGTAAATGCTTGTTATGTCCCCACCACATAGTGTGGGGCCATATTGTCGGCCTAGGCGCTTCCGTCCGTCTGTCTGTCCGTCCGTACGTCCGGCAGTTTTCTCCAAAACAGCTACAGATATCACCTTCAAATTTTCAGGGATAACTTATGAGTGCATACAGATGTGGATGAAAAAAAATTAACTCTATACCTACTTCCTGTCGGCCATTTTGAAGTCAAATGCTAAAATCCTTGTCTGCAAACTTTAAGAAAAACGGCTTCACAGTTGCTTTTAAAACTTTAACATCTTGTTCAGCTCACTTCATTCTAGATCTGATTAGGTTTTGGACCTGTTAGCTCAGTCACGTCAGCCATTTTGAATGTTTTAAGAAAAGTTAGCGCACGATAATACTTTGTATCATATTGAATGGTGTTTTTCAGTTTTCATACTTAAACTATTTCGTAGCTTTATAAATAATTTTAGGTGAACTTTGTTGTAAAAGCCTATGTTATTGTTAACAGTAGTTATATGTGATAATTTTGTAAAAAGAAATCAGCAAAAACTCATAATCACTTTTTTATTGTCGGCCATTTTGGATTTTTCCGTCCTAAAATCTTGTCTGTAAAGTCTTGTCTACGCGTTTTCAGGTCAACCGTTTGGTAGATCAATTTCAAATTTTCAGGGATGATTCTTAGTATGAAAATCTAGATCTGATTAGTTTTTGGGCATTCTGGATAAATGTCAAGGCAGCCATTTTGGATTTTCCGTCCTAAAATCTTGTCTGTAAAGTCTTGTCTACGCATTTTCAGGTGAACCGTTTGGTAAATCAATTTAAAATTTTCATTGATGATTCTCAGTATGAAAAGCTAGATCTGATTAGATTTTGGGCATTCTGGGTAAATGTCAAGGCAGCCATTTTGGATTTTCCGTCCTGAAATCTTGTCTGTAAAGTCTTGTCTACGCATTTCCAGGTGAACCGTTTGGTAGATCAATTTCAAATTTTCAGGGATGATTTTCAGTATGAAAATCTAGATCTGATTAGTTTTTTGGCATTCTGGGTAAATGTCAAGGCAGCCATTTTGGATTTTCCGTCTTAAAATCTTGCCCGTAAAGTCTTGTCTACGCATTTTTAGGTGAACCGTTTGGTTGATCAATTTCAAATTTTCAGGGATGATTCTTAGTATGAAAATCTAGATCTGATTAGCTTTTGGGCATTCTGGGTAAATGTCAAGGCAGCCATTTTGAATTTTCTGTCCTAAAATTTGTTTGTAAAGTCTTGTCTACGCATTCTCAGGTGAACCGTTTGGTAGATCAATTTCAAATTTTCAGGGATGATTCTTAGTATGAAAATATAGAACAGATTAGTTTTTTGGCATTCTGGATAAATGTCAAGGCAGCCATTTTGGATTTTCTGTCCTCAAATCTTGTCTGTAAAGTCTTGTTTACATGTTTTCTGGTTAACTGTGTGACGGATCAATTTCAAATTTTTAGGGGTGGTTCTTAGTATGAAAATCAAGAACTGACTATTTTTTTGGCATTCTGGGTAAATTTTAAGGTGGCCATTTTGGATTTTCCGTCCTCAAATTGTGTCGGTAAAGTCTTGTCTACTCATTTTTAGGATAACCATTTGACGGGATCACCCATAGGTGGGGACATTTTGTACACATTTGTGTTCTTGTTTTGTTGTTGGTTAGGTAACATGTTAATGATGTCACATGTTACAGAGATGTGTGACGTTACGATTATTTGTTTGTTTATAGCTGCTCCATGGAGTAAATATGTCACTGACCAGTCATAGTTTATATGATACGTCATATCTTGAATCATAATCACATCATTTGACGACTTGGCAGTTGCCTTGATGATTTGCCATATAAGCTTTACGTGAATGGTCCTTAAAGCCCGTTGGGGGCCTTCGTAAAAGTGACTAACAGCCCTCCCATCATAGGAAGCACTATCGCAGTTTAAAAGTCACAAGAAAATACTGTACACGAAGAAAATGTGATTGAACTTAAATGAACTTTATTTGCAGGTCCAACTTTATCTGCCCCCGAAACGATAGGTCTCCTAGTAAATGCTGGTTTATTTGATAATGCTGTGACACTAAGTAAAGCATATGGCCTCTCTTTGGCCACCATCTTCGAGGGACTTGCGTCGAGGTAAGGGCAATTTAAGTGGTCCTTAAGACAATCATACATATATTTATAAGACATACATGTACGTGTACTTAGTTTTCAATTCTCTGAAGTTTTTAGCTTGCACATTTAGCCTACGGGATTGACTAGGCATCCATCTGTCCTTCCTTATTCATTTATAGAGCAATTTCAAAAGAGATTATTAAGAAAATCATACATATACTTTTAGATGTACCTAGTGCTTGATTCTCAGTATTTATTCATATATACTCATATGCATGTGCCACAAATGTATAGTATTTCACATTATTTCTTGGACTACATACAAAAAAATAATTACTCTATTTGATACTATTATGTTCCAGGTGTATACGTCTTTCACAGAATAGTAGTTCTTACATGCAAGGGGATAACGATTACACAGCTGATGCCTGGTCATGGCTCAATGATAATGAACTCACTCAGACACTCAACAGTAAAGAAATAAGGTAAGGCTCTTATATTACATGCAGGAGGATAAGGATTACACAGCTGATGCCTGGTCATGGCTCAATGATAATGAACTCACTCAGACACTCAACAGTAAAGAAATAAGGTAAGGCTCTTATATTACATGCAGGAGGATAAGGATTACACAGCTGATGCCTGGTCATGGCTCAATGATAATGAACTCACTCAGACACTCAACAGTAAAGAAATAAGGTAAGGCTCTTATATTACATGCAGGAGGATAAGGATTACACAGCTGATGCCTGGTCATGGCTCAATGATAATGAACTCACTCAGACACTCAACAGTAAAGAAATAAGGTAAGGCTCTTATATTACATGCAGGAGGATAATGATTACACAGCTGATGCCTGGTCATGGCTCAATGATAATGAACTCACTCAGACACTCAACAGTAAAGAAATAAGGTAAGGCTCTTATATTACATGCAGGGGGATAACGATTACACAGCTGATGCCTGGTCATGGCTCAATGATAATAAACTCACTCAGACACTCAACAGTAAAGAAATAAGGTAAGGCTCTTATATTACATGCAGGGGGATAACGATTACACAACTGATGCCTGGTCATGGCTCAATGATAATGAACTCACTCAGACACTCAACAGTAAAGAAATAAGGTAAGGCTCTTATATTACATGCAGGGAGATAACGATTACACAGCTGATGCCTGGTCATGGCTCAATGATAATGAACTCACTCAGACACTCAACAGTAAAGAAATAAGGTAAGGCTCTTATATTACATGCAGGGAGATAATGATTACACAGCTGATGCCTGGTCATGGCTCAATGATAATGAACTCACTCAGACACTCAACAGTAAAGAAATAAGGTAAGGCTCTTATATTACATGCAGGGGGATAACGATTACACAGCTGATGCCTGGTCATGGCTCAATGATAATGAACTCACTCAGACACTCAACAGTAAAGAAATAAGGTAAGGCTCTTATATTACATGCAGGGGGATAACGATTACACAGCTGATGCCTGGTCATGGCTCAATGATAATGAACTCACTCAGACACTCAACAGTAAAGAAATAAGGTAAGGCTCTTATATTACATGCAGGGGGATAACGATTACACAACTGATGCCTGGTCATGGCTCAATGATAATGAACTCACTCAGACACTCAACAGTAAAGAAATAAGGTAAGGCTCTTATATTACATGCAGGGAGATAACGATTACACAGCTGATGCCTGGTCATGGCTCAATGATAATGAACTCACTCAGACACTCAACAGTAAAGAAATAAGGTAAGGCTCTTATATTACATGCAGGGAGATAATGATTACACAGCTGATGCCTGGTCATGGCTCAATGATAATGAACTCACTCAGACACTCAACAGTAAAGAAATAAGGTAAGGCTCTTATATTACATGCAGGGAGATAACGATTACACAGCTGATGCCTGGTCATGGCTCAATGATAATGAACTCACTCAGACACTCAACAGTAAAGAAATAAGGTAAGGCTCTTATATTACATGCAGGGGGATAACGATTACACAGCTAATGATAATGAACTCACTCAGACGCTCAACAGTAAAGAAATAAGGTAAGGCTCTTATATTACATGCAGGGGATAATGATTACACAGCTGATGCCTGGTCATGGCTCAATGATAATGAACTCACTCAGACACTCAACAGTAAAGAAATAAGGTAAGGCTCTTATATTACATGCAGGGAGATAATGATTACACAGCTGATGCCTGGTCATGGCTCAATGATAATGAACTCACTCAGACACTCAACAGTAAAGAAATAAGGTAAGGCTCTTATATTACATGCAGGGAGATAACGATTACACAGCTGATGCCTGGTCATGGCTCAATGATAATGAACTCACTCAGACACTCAACAGTAAAGAAATAAGGTAAGGCTCTTATATTACATGCAGGGGGATAACGATTACACAGCTGATGCCTGGTCATGGCTCAATGATAATGAACTCACTCAGACGCTCAACAGTAAAGAAATAAAGTAAGGCTCTTATATTACATGCAGGGGATAATGATTACACAGCTGATGCCTGGTCATGGCTCAATGATAATGAACTCACTCAGACGCTCAACAGTAAAGAAATAAGGTAAGGCTCTTATATTACATGCAAATATAATGATTACACAGCTGATGCCTGGTCATGGCTCAATGATAATGAACTCACTCAGACACTCAACAGTAAAGAAATAAGGTAAGGCTCTTATATTACATGCAGGGGGATAACGATTACACAGCTGATGCCTGGTCATGGCTCAATGATAATGAACTCACTCAGACGCTCAACAGTAAAGAAATAAGGTAAGGCTCTTATATTACATGCAGGGGATAATGATTACACAGCTGATGCCTGGTCATGGCTCAATGATAATGAACTCACTCAGACGCTCAACAGTAAAGAAATAAGGTAAAACGGTACATTTTATTCAGCAAGGCACATAGTAAATAATTCAAGATAATTGCATGGTTGTAATTACAGAAGCGTAACCAATTGTTACAGAGGCTACTACAGAATATTATCAAAAATATACCAAAAGATACCAAAAGTCTTCAAAAATATGTTACCACTTCATGACCTAAAGCCATCAAGATTATGTTTCTAATTTTAGTTCCGCTGATCAGGCTTGGAGACTACTACATTTGTACCTTGATAAATATGCAACTGAAGGTTCCACATATCACAAGTGTGTAGCACTAAGACTTCTCTCTCAGGGATTCAGCTTGCCCAACTGGTTCATAGCAGCATATAAGGTATATGAAGTACATATGCATAAGTAAACAGCATACAGAGGTTATTGAATGTGAGGTTTTTGATACAGGGCATATCTGAGGGAAATACAATATATCATTCCGAGCAACCGTATTTACTGCAGGATATAACCAATATCAAAAATCGAGCATTTAATATCTGATTTATTCTATACTTAGTAGATTATGAGGGTTTGTAGTTAAGTCCCCTGGCTCAGTTTCTACTCTATGAATTTGTGACGTTGTAGATCTGATGAGTGGGTGATATCAGCGGGTGATATGTACAATGTATATCACTCGCTGATATCACCCGCTGGCTTCAGATATCAATTATATTCCTGCATTTTATTTACCTATAACACAAAGTATGGAATAAAGGTTTTTTAATCTGATGGATACCAAATATATATGGGGATGACGACACAAGATAAAAATTTGAATATAAAATTTTGAAAAACAAAAACTGAAAAAAAATTGAAAAAAAAAATTTGAAAAAAAAATTGAAAAGAAATTTGAATACAAGAATTTCGAAAAAATTGTAATAACCATTTGTCTGTTTGCCAATATAGTTCCAAGGTTATGTGCTCAGTAAAAATGAGAATTTTTCATGCGATCATTTTATAAAAATTGGTTCAAAGAAAATAAAATTAAGAAATTAGAAAAGAATTAGAAAGCAACAACTTTTAGGTCTAATTATCCAAGTCCATACAAAAAAGCCACCATAGGATAAATATGATATCCTATGATTTTCTCAGCTATCATTTTTATCCACTCTTGGATATCGCTGATCTTACTCATTCGCTGCGCTCACTCGTGGAGATGGGCGTTATCGTAACCATTTATAATTACATAAATTATGACATTTTGTCATGTTATTAGTTAATGCATTATATCTACTTTTAGAAAGTAAATCCTGCAGAGTTACTGCGCCTTTACCTGGACCATGATTGGCTAGACCATGCTGCCCATTTAGCTATAGAATACATAGATGCAGTTCTTGGGAAAGGAGGAGAATATTTCGGTCTGAAGACCTCATTGAATGTCACATCACCAAGTGTTTGGTTGCCATATACTTGTCTGGACCAATTGTTGAATGCACTTGGCGAGGTTAGAAATGATGCCATGTTTATACAGGTAAGTTGTGTTTATCAAATTCATTAGATAACTAGTACGTTATTTGTTTTGTGCAAGAATCAAATATGTTCAAAAAAGATCAAGGAATTATAACTACCAACACATTTGAAACATGAAATATTGCTATTTGTTCTCTATACAATAGCATTATTTCATAGTAGGTAATAATGATTTGAACAGGCTTAAGCTGATAAAAGTGAGCTTAAGAGGTTATCCCTGAACCTCAAAACAGTTTTTTTTTTATTTTTGTTTATTTATTCTATTGTTTCAGTTGTATGAAGATTTAAAGACAAGGGTGGCTTTATACCAGAACAATCTATCACTAGTGACTGAAGATAAACTGAACACTGCTAAAAGGGACTCAACAAGAGTGGCCCAATCTTTCTATGAACATGAACATGAGAGTATGGTGTACTCCTGATAGCAGGATATATGAATTCACCATAGTAATTAAACACAACAATGGATTCACCATAGTGATTAAACACACCAATGGATTTACCATAGGGATAATGAAGCATTTAAATTCATGAGAGAGCATTAAACATAGTACTTGTATCGGTATGTGTATGTACAGGGTGATCCTGAAGTTAAAGATCAAAGATGTTGCCATATTCAAAGATGTTGCCATTGTACTCATAGCTCTTGAGACTGTGAAACATCCGCAATCATTATTGAGTTACCGCCTCAAAATTAAAAATAGATGGTTATTATGGGCAAATTGTTTTTGAATAGAAATAAAAATGTCAAACTCATGGTCTTTACTTATGATAATGTAAAAATGTTTTTTTTCAAAATTCTGAATTGCACGATTATTACATATTACTCAACATTAGTTAGGGTCAGACCCAATCTGCAAACATCGTTTGAAAACTGAATCCGTAGAATTCAAATAGCAACATCTTTGATCTTAATTTTGGATCACCCTGTACATTGTGATATTATAATCATTGGATTACAAGCTTTAAACAGTGGCTTCAGGGCACAATGTGCATACAAGAAAATAGTACACTGTTCTATCTGTCTCAAGCGAATGTTAACGGTAGATCAGGTCTGCAAGTTGTCAGTTAAATAGAATTAACATACACATGTCTTGGGTGCACTTTTTCAAATAAGTTGACTAGATCAGTCCTTTAGTAGATGGAGTGTAATACAGAATATATTTTTGTCACATGAGCCAATCAGGTATTTAGAAATAGCGCTATCATTGAATAATGGATTAGATTCAGTCATATCTGTAATTCAGTATATACTGTAGTAGGTACAAATACCAGGTCGTTCAATAAGTTAGCAGAAAATGCTCTCATTTCAAAGATTTTTGATATTTTTTCATGAAATGTTCACATAACATCTACAAAACATCTTGTTATTGATTGGTAAAATATCAGCATCTCCAATTTGATTGGTCTGAAATGACGGAACTTATTTTAAGACCTGATATTTGTTGTGTAAAAAAGCTGTACTAAGAATTAAATGTTACCTTCGATCTCATCATTCCCATAAGATGACCACCCATGTTAAAACACTGAAGTACAACCTATTTCCAGAATATCTCATCATTAGTCACTCTCACTTGTTCACGGTGACCAAGAGTTAACAGTGCAAATCGGCCCGGTCGTGTTTTTTTAAACTCTTTAGTCGTGTTTTTTTGAAAATTTGAGAGGTAGGTTGATAAATTTGGTCATGAAATTGCTGTCACTTGACTTTATGTAAAAGTAAGTAATTTATATTGCTTTCCATACTATATATCTTAACTTCAGGTATTCGTAAACGTGTTATTTGCACGAATCGTATGCTATAGTCTTGTTATATCGGGAAATGAGCAATTCTGTCAGTGTTATACATATTTTTGCCTGAAAATCACTTGCCTGACTTGTATTCAATGAATACATCGATTCATAAGGAAAGCATTCACAATATGTGCGAAAATCAAAAGTTAGAAGAGCTTAAATAAGTAGCAATTGACCGAATAATATTTTTTAGATTAAACTCTTTAGACGTGTTGAAAAGATTGCGGTTAATGACGTTGACCTGTTAGTGAAACGTTCTAGACGTGTAGAGACATTGAGGTTTAACGATTTGGAAGTGGGAAACAGCACAATTAACATTATGTATTTCCCAAAAAATGATCACAATGTGGAAGAAGTTGTTGTCTGAGTGACACTATCTTAATTATAAATGATTAACAATAATCAAATGTACGACATAATATGTCAAGATTGATCTATGGGATCACTACCGAATTTGATACTTAAATCAAAATGGTTAGAATCAGACACGCATGGTTAATGCAAGCGAGCTTTGCCTCGTCGCTCGTCATTTTGAAAATTTTACCAGTCATATTATTTTTTAATTGCCCTGTCGCTCATTAAATGGCTCGTTGCTATTTTTGAATTTGCCTCAAATACGTTTTAAAACGTCCCTATTGGCCTTAAACTCACTTTTCCCTGACATGAACGTAAATAAATTTATTTAAAATGAGAGGAAATGTTTAGTTTGTGATGCACTACATGTAAATGCATATATATGATCACCTAATGTAAGGAATAACTTCACCGGTATTAAAATCGTATGCTCAATATCTATTAGGTTTGCCTCGGGATTTTTAACAATTTGATTCGATGTTATTCCCTAATTCGCCTCACAAAATGCAATACAATTTCAATTTTAATTTTCAAATTGCAATAGGTAAAAAACGCTACATATGCTGCTATCGTTCTATGAGTGATCTATGAACTGTACTGTAACATAGTTTCCTAGCGAATTAAATTACAACATCTGTTGATCTTGTTAAATCATATATCTGTCTTTTTTATTTATTCTTATTTATTCATATCTTGACTACAAATTACAATAAACGGGTGACACATAATGTATATTCCCGTGTTTTATACTAATACATGAACAGATGGTGGGGATCTACTTGTGTAATAATGCATACTATTTGTTTCTGGTTAATAGTGTGTGTCGCACTAGGCCCGCAAATTATTATAAAACCAACATAAACTATAAATTATATTATTGATTAAGAAGATACCTTTTGAGTTTTAACTTCTAGCAGAAATACGAGATAGTAAGAATTTAGTTTTTCAATTTATTTTAGTACTAGATCGTGGATAGGGATGTCAATTCTGAACAGATCAGTCGGATGAACCTTCTCATAATGTTCAAGGAAAGTGTTCTTATGAGCGCTTTTGAAAGAGCACGCGGGGCACTTATTCAGAGGAACTGAAATTACAAAATATGTGAATAGTCATGTAGTACAAACACTTATCTTCAAAGTACTAATACGATTATTTTCAGAAGCACAGACAAATTATTAAGCAACAAAACATGGTCAATGTGAACAATATTACAAGACAATTCAAAGTCGTTAATTTTATCACGTCTAAAACGTTATCTTTACAATTCCAAAACGTTAACATGCTTATTATAAGACACGTCCATGACGTTATATTGTCCCTTCTCCATAGTTAACTCCACTTTCTACATTTACGGTCATTTATGGCAATTTTAAGATAAATACAGTTAAAATATTTACACGATCTTTAGAGTAGTGAATATTATTCCACGTTGTTGAATGGATTGTCTGTTTAAACTTGATTAAATAACACTAAATGCAAATTAAGTACATATTTCTGGCACTTTTGGTATATAATTGCGATTGATATGAAGTATGATGGATTTATCCCCAAAATAGATTCGTGGGTATGAAGAAGAACATCTTAGGTAGAAGTCAAGATATGTAAGTTTGTAAAATATAGAATATTCTTACCATTTTGCTCCATTCTATCGAATGTCGCATCCCATGTTCTTACAAAACACGACTAAAGAGTTTAAAAAAACACGACCGGGCCGATTTGCACTGTTAACTCTTGGTCACCGTGTTGTTGATATTTTTGTAGTTTTATATGGAATATTCTTATGATTCAAATGATGTATTGGAAGTATAAAGTGTATTTATGAAGTATGTCAAATTTTTGATGGACTATTTTGATTCATAAATACCTTAAAAATTGTACATCAGACTACATATTATCTTGTGCCCAATGACTCAAAAATGGCATTTTACCTTCTTTATCAATTGTATAATTTTCAGAAAGTGTCTGTTTGAAAAATACCATTGCCATTACCATCTACATTAAGGTAGGCTGAGTGGGATGACATAAAAGGCATAAGCTGGCACTAAGATTACTTTTTCTTGGTCCACCTTAATAAAGTTTTACTTGTGCAATTTTTTGTCCCATTTCTACAGGTTATAATGATTGATTCCACTTTTCAAAGTAGCCTTTAAGTACTGTATTTCTATCATCTTATTTTTGATTAAATTGTATATATTCATCTGAACTGTGTGACATTCTACAATAAAACAATTGCATATTTGTACAAAAGTGTTTATTCTTGTATAAATATCAACATATTATTATACAATTTGCAGAATATAACAGGACTGATCAAAATAATTTCCCAGTCACCTGATTCAATTGCACGATGCCAATCTTTTACAGCAAATTCCAGATTTTTTCATGACATGGAACATCTAACATGCTTTATTCTAGTCAATTATTGGAAGTACAGTACACTCTATTGGATACTGTATAAATTACCATCTCTGAAGTGAACACTGAACATTTTTTCTCAGCAAAAAATATTCAGTTTATTCAAAATATGGGCTGTATAGGTATTTATTGCAGAGAAACAAAAATTGGGGCTTAATTTCTCAAGACTTTACCATAAGAAAACCTGGTATGTAAATCCTTTATTTGCTTGGGCTAAATATGGAAAAGAACCCATCTATAGATGGCATTCAATTAGTACAATAGAATTGAACACTTGTTTTTTCTGAATACACATCTTGAAATCTCTTTAAACAGAAGAACATTAGTGTTAATCTCTAGCATATGAGAGTGTAATGCCCAGTGATATGACCCAGTTAGTCTGTGATCGTTATGCATCAATAAACAAGCACGATGACATAGGCTAATGTCTCACCTTTGTAATGTCAGAAGCCATCCGTTTCTAGTGTTTCACACAATGTCACTGGTGTGCCATTATGATATCGGTATAACACTTTCAAATAATAAAGTTTGTGTCCCACACATGTAGTGGTGTCATGTATCACCATAAGACTGTTTCACATTATAAATTGATGTCAGGTATCACTCTTAGACTGTTTCACATTATAAAATAGTGATGGCATGTGTCACTCTTAGATTGTTTCACATTATATAATAGTGATGTCATGTGTCACCCTTAGATTGTTTCACATTATATAATAGTGATGGCATGTGTCACCCTTAGATTGTTTCACATTATATAATAGTGATGGCATGTGTCACCCTTAGATTGTTTCACATTATATAATAGTGATGGCATGTGTCACCCTAAGACTATTTCACATTATACATAGTGATGTCAGGTGTCCTTACATTGTTTCACATTATATACTGAAGTGATGTCAAGTGTCTCCTTTAGACTGCTTCACATTATATAATAGAGTGGTGTCGGCTGTCACCCTTAGATTGTTTCACATAATATATAAAAGTGATGTCTAGTGTCACCCTTTGATTGTTTCATAGAAAACATAAAAGTGATGTCAAGTGTCACCCTTTGATTGTTTCATAGCTAACCGTCTCTCCCTCCAGTCTGGAGCAATTTCCATGAAGTTAGGATTGTCCTCCAGTTCACCACTGAAATGATAACATTGAAGATTAGTACTGCTTAATATTTAGAAACACTGAATATTGTAGAATACTGAGTACAGTACACAAATATACTCAAGATAAACAAGTATTTATGATGTGGCACCCAACGTAGCAATTAATAAAGAAATAATGCATAGCTGTAACTAATGCCTCAGTCACATTTGATCTATGGTAACCCCACAGCGGCTGTAGCTTCCCAAATTGAGAAAATGTGCAGCATATAACATAGGGATAAGCAGTACAGTGTCGATTTTCTATATCGATTTTGTGAAGTTACGCCCGCCGTAAAGCAAATGTGACTGAGGCTCTAGGTAGAATTTTTGGTAAAACTGAGGTAGAACTGACCTTTCTAACTGTTGTTTCTTCCACATCTCAAACCGCTTAGCATTGAGAGCATGTTGATCGTATTCCTCTAGGGCACTCTGGACTTTATCATCTTGCTCTGCTTGCTGAACAAACTGCTCCTGGACTTTTTGCCATTTATTGACTAAGTTGGGAAATTGTTTCTTCTTCAAGGACAGACCTGCACCCAACTTTTTCTGTAAAAATAAAGTCATTTACGATTATTAACTGATCTAGGACTCTCTGCCTTTTATTAATTTTTTTCTCAGTGACAGATTTTCAGTGATAAATCATCAATTTCTTCTTCGGTGAATCTTTTTATTATATATATATATATCTGTAACATTAATAGCACTGAAACTGAAATTGTACTTCATCACCAGTACTTGATGTGAACAGTTACACAGAGCAATAATTTCAAGCAGACAACCTATAAATTAAATGGTTTGGATCTGTTGCATTTCATTCAAAATCTTGCTTTCAAATTTTGAAGTTGCTATATTGCTGAATAACATATAAGATTTGTATTATATTTTATTGAAAGGACATGATTATTGACTTGGAATCATTCTTCATTCTTTATGGCGACGGCTTTTGTGAATGGATGTTGACCCTTTGAAACGCCTATGGACTTGAAGACTGGATTTTATCTATCCCACATCATTTGAGACTGAATGCTCTATCTTGTATGAGTACTTGTATCTACAACTATTTTTGAGGTTATGAGTATTGGCTATCAATTTCTAATTTTTTCTTCAACATGTATTGTAATGACTTCAGTATGAATGAAATGTCCCTTGGTGTTCTGGTCTTGGATTGTGATATTGGTTCTTGAATGGTGGGGGGAAAGGGGGTATTAGACATTGTTTCTTTTCACGTTAGATCATGGTTTTGGGATATATGTATGGGGGTTTTTTTTTCTTGACTGGTTTGCACTTAGAATTTGCTTTTTCTTGCTAAGTTCCATTACAACTTTTGGTCCTTTCCCTTTGGCACTGGTGCTTATATATTCATAATAACAAGAGATTCTGAATTCATATTTCTGGTGTTTTTCACTTAAAATGTAAAACTGGATAAGTTATATTTCAAATTGCAGTGTATACGTGGTTGTTCATAGTCTAACATAGAGTTCACTATCACATGACACTTAGATGTGTGTAAAATATATCGCAACTTAACCATCATACAAGTGTTTTCAAAGATGTATAATATTTGTCATTCATACACAAGACTCAAGTTTGTATCATGTACACTATTCATGTCCCTATATTGAATAACCATTCCTGCTTGTAAGCCCTCGTTTTTATATCCGAGATGTTTCGGACCTTCTGATGTGGTAGCTATGACTTGTGATTAGTGATTACCCAGAAATCAGTAAACCAAAACTATTCTTAAGTATGACATCACATATCACGTTGGACTCAATCTTACAGTTATTTATTTATTTTTGTAATAGTTAACGCAATGACTCTATAATGCAGATATGCAAAATGTCACCACCTACCATATGTTACAGATGCCAAGCACTGTACATTAAACACCAACTGTCAAACACGAACAACTGAACATAATTCACAAAAAAGTTGAACAATATGTCACTTCTTCTGGTGGTGACATAAAAACCACATTCTTACAGCTTTAGGCTGAGAAAACCTATTTCATTCAAGCTTTAACTGTTCATTTGATGAATTATTTAAGATTATTCCGATCATTTCACATGTTTTTCTTACTACAGGTTTAATGGGTGATTATCAAATGCAGTTCTTCAAGGAATAGAACCCAATCAGACCAATATAGTAGCATATGCATTTCTAAACTTTACCATTGTGTGTTTGTACATAACATCTCTTAATGCAATTGAATTAAAATTATAAAATTACAACAAGATAGCTTATTCTGTTCAACCTGCATCTAATATCCAATTCACTATGAGAAATATGGGCACTTTGAGTAGTTCTGATATTCATCATTTTTATTAAAGGCAGGATCAGAGATAGTAAGCAATTTATCAAATAATTGTTCTCGTTTTACAATTCTTATTTATTATTCGTTTACTAAAAATCCCCATAATTCATACTGTATACATGGAAACCCATAATTCTAGCATTTAAATGTATGTGTCCATTTTTCTACACCGAAAGATATCCATATTTATGAGAATTTTCACTTTTTCCACTTTCAATCTTAAAATAATAACTTTACTATTTGATAAGGTGTGTCAGATCTCTTGAGATATATCATATTTGGGGAAACACAAAAACCATTACAATCAATTATTAAGGTTGTTTGGAATTTCAACTCTCTTTCTCTGATCCTGCCTTTAACTAACTTTCAATTCATCTGCCTATATTAAATTGAGAAAAGCTGCCAATAATAGTTATAACAGGTATGAAGTGAACTTAACACAGTGCGGGTGTTTGGCAATATTATAGATGATATCCTACTGGCCAGACCCATATCAGAGCTAAAAGGTATTTATTTTCCATGTAATTCATTATTTCATTCAAAGTCATAAAAATAAAACATGAGAATAACTAAGAGCACACCAGGACCATCAGAAAAACCCATATGAGGATATGCAAAAAGTTGAAAACATATTAAAACTTATGTGTAAGTAGAAGACTTCAAGTTATGCAAAAAGTTGAATACATATTAAAACTTATGTGTAAGTAGAAGACTTCAAGTTATGCAAAAAGTTGAAAACATATTAAAACTTATGTGTAATTAGAAGACTTCAAGTTATGCAAAAAGTTGAAAACATATTAAAACTTATGTGTAAGTAGAAGATTTCAAGTTATGCAAAAAGTCTCAAAACATATCAAAACTTATGTGTAAGTAGAAGACTTCAAGTTATGCAAAAAGTTGAAAACATATTAAAACTTATGTGTAAGTAGAAGACTTCAAGTTATGCAAAAAGTCGGAAACATATTAAAACTTATGTGTAAGTAGAACGCTTTTCAATTACCATTACTTCAACTCTCATTTAAAGCACTTTTTAAAGGTACCAAAGGGTTTCACTTAAAAATAACTGAAATATCACTTACACAGATGGAATGCAGAAACTAATCTTAAATATAACCGATGAGGCTTTGGTATAAGAAAACCAAATCCATTAGCAAACAATGGTCTGAACACCAGAAATAGAAGCTAACATATATTCACTAGAGCTCAAGGTTAATTTTGTTTGAATGAAAATGTAAATAATCCCCGGGAAATAATCCTTCATTTGGGTGTAAATATTGACTTAAGTTGTATCCATAGTAGAGGAAAAAACATATCATCAGTAATTTAAGTTGGTCAGTGTGATTGTCTTATTTATAATTTGAAATTCAATTGATGAAAAATTTAACATGAATCTAACACTTTTGATGCATATCAGATTCAAACGAGTAAAAGAACCTTTAAAAAATTAGCACTTCTATGACCAATCGGAGATTAGGATAGTTATTCATTATCTGAATGTTAATGCATTATTTCTATTTTGTCTAGGGCTCAGTATCCTGGGAAGCAGCTGCGCTCTGCCCTTGCAAAATGTTTGCCAGTTCTATTATATTTCTCTGCTTTGTGTGTGTAGGAAAGGATTTAAAGCACAAGGGACTATTCATCAGATGTTATTTAAATAATGCATTCCCCTAATTCTAATATCCTTTGCTACTCTTAACTTTAATATTTAAATGTGCATAATTAACATTACAGTATTTCATTTTATGGATAAGATATTGTGCTTAAATCCTTTACTAAAGAATGGCACCCCAGTAAAGGAAAATCAAAGAAATAACACGAAAAAGAAATAGGAAAATTACAATATAGCACTTTGAATGCGATGAATAATTTAAATACTAAGAACCTGAATAGCTGTCAAAATTTATAAATGAACTAAATACTCAATGCAATTTATATTTTACATTGTAGGATCAAATACAGTTTACATGTCACTCTGTGCCTGTGCAGTCGTTTAAAAGTAAAGAGACAAAGAAAACAGACAAAGAGTTACCAATTCAACAATATTTACATGGTGGCTTCTCTCTGATAGTCTGATTGGAATACTAAAATACAACTGTACTGATAATTATATCTAACCAAGAAACAATATCAGGACAAATTTAATACCATAAAACTGATAAAAGGACAAATCTAAAGTTTCTGCAACTGATGATCACATCAGGACAACTAACTTGAATAACTAACTTCTGAAATCTAAAATATAATACACAAAAGAAAACATTCAGCATGTTGAAATCAAAGTTACGCAAGTTGGGAGATGTTCCGAGATCCAGTTATATAACAACAATAATGATTGTCTTGGATATTATCCTGATGTGTGTCACAATATATATAAGCGCCAGCATACTAAAGCCTCCTAAATCTGATGACAATATAGCCATTTTGATCAAACACGAAGAAGCAGTAAAACAAAACGATGCAAGGTTATTTGGAACCGATGAAACTTTACTCAAAATGAATACCACAATGTCCAGTGGCGACACAAAACGGAGAATTGATTTAGAACCGCAAATAGATTGCTTCAATTCGAAAACTGCTGCCTGGATTCTGATGTTGTTAGTATTTGTTGCACTACTAAACATCTGCATAATGGCGCCATCTTTATTTAGCTGGAACCAGATGTCCCAACTCCAAGCTGTCAGCAGTCTACTGAACCTGATCGTAATGCTATATTTGCCTGTTAGTATAATCTACATACAGAGAGCAACATGCTTGGGCCAGGTATATAGATTACATCTTCTCATAACTTGGATGATACTGGGATTATTTCTAACCATATTGAAAGTGACAATTTTCCGTAGCCAGCTGTTGGCAGTGAATCACAAAATTGAAGATATAGATTTTGTTTAAAGATTTTATTTGTATAAAGCTTTGAATCACACGTTTGAAGTTATAGATTTTGTATAATTTTCAAGCATTATGAGCTCCTAGACTTCAAGCAAGTTGTATAAAGCTTTGTATCAAAAGCTTGAAGTTATAGATTTTGTATAATTTTCAAGCATTATGAACTACTAGACTTCAAGCATGTTGTATAAAGCTTTGAATCACAAGCTTGAAGTTATAGATTTTGTATAATTTTCAAGCATTATGAACTACTAGACTTCAAGCATGTTGCATAAAGCTTTGAATCACAAGGTTGAAGTTATACATTTTGTATGATTTTCAAGCATTATGAGCTCCTAGACTTCAAGCATGTTGTATAAAGCTTTGAATCACAAGGTTGAAGTTATAGATTTTGTATAATTTTCAAGCATTATGAACTCCTAGACTTCAAGCATGTTGTATAAAGCTTTGAATCACAAGGTTAAAGTTATAGATTTTGTATAATTTTCAAGCATTATGAACTAGAATTCAAGCATGTTGTATAAAGCTTTGAATCACAAGTTTGAAGTTATAGATTTAGTATAATTTTCAAGCATTATGAACTCCTAGACTTCAAGCATGTTGTTTAAAGCTTTGAATCAAAAGGTTGAAGTTATCAATTTTGTCTAATTTTCAAGCATTATGAACTAGAATTCAAGCATGTTGTATAAAGCTTTGAATCACAAGGTTGAAGTTATAGATTTTGTATAATTTTCAAGCATTATGAACTAGAATTCAAGCATGTTGTATAAAGCTTTGAATCACAAGGTTGAAGTTATAGATTTTGTATAATTTTCAAGTATTATGAACTAGAATTCAAGCATGTTGTATAAAGCAATCTTGAATATTTTTTATTAAACTGTAAAATAGTTTAGTCACAAGTGTATAATTCAGCCTATTACTGGCTGATGTAGAAAATCATATGAGATCACAGAGGTTATTGAAATGATGAATGACATTTGAACCTCTTGACAACAGAGAGGACACATTTCCTTATCATCAAATAAATATCCAAAGATACTCTATCACTGCATCACTAAAACTGATTTGACAATTTCAATCAAATTTTTATATCGTAATTTTTAGTGCTTGGTGCATATTTTGCTCTTTATAATATCTAGCGAGACAGTGCTGAATGTGGGCCTTAATAATGTTAAAAAAGTGTTTTTATATATATATTTGTTTCTATTATCATAATAAACTTATATTTACTCAGTATATTATTGTTGATATGTTGGAAGGAAAGCATTTATGGTCCACAGCAAAACAAGTGAATGATATTGATGGATTTTACTGAACCATAATGACCCAGAGGAGCTTAAAAATTGAAGACATTTAAATCATTTATTCATCAAATGACATGAGTTGCGTGTAAAACGTGACTATATTATATGGACTACGTGATTTATATCAAGTTCATTGTGACATGAGCATCATTTTATACTATGAACATTTTATTCTATTTTTCTTCCTTTTAATATAAAACTGAATGCTTCGTGATCTTATTAGTCATCCACTTGTCAATCTACCATACATTAAATAACATTACAAAATATCAAATGCCAACTGCTGAACACAATCCACAAAAAAAGTTGGAGATTATAACAATATTTCACCACTTGTGGTGGTGACATAAAAAACTGTACATGATAGCAATATTTTGCCACTTATTGGCAGTGACATAATGACATAATAAAAATATAGAGGGTTTACCTTGTCTTTCTTTTTCTTCTTTTCCTTGGTATGTGAGCCACTTGAGCTTCTAACTGTACTACTTGACGATGCTGTTGCCTCCTGGGATGTGTATGGCTCTGGTTGCCTTGACAACGAAGGTGCAGTGTAGGAGCTAGGAGCTGCAGCGATTACGGCTGAAGTATCAACATCAGGCGCCCGATATGTCATTGGCTGGCTAGAGATGGCGCTGCTGTGAGCTTCATATTTCTGGGGTTGGGCAATTATTGAGGGTGCCGGGGGAGGGGAGGGTGCGGGAGAGGCAGAGAGGGATGACAGTGTAGGGTATGGCATAGGAGGTGGGGGTGCATGGGGCTGATTTGTGCTTGAAATCCCGCCTGATATATCTGGGGGGTAGTAAGGTAATGGAGGGGGAAGGGCAAGAGGAACATGAGCTGGGGGAGGGGGTGCAGGAGTGGACTGTGTCGGCTCAGTATCTGACTCATCATCAAGATCCATATCATCTGATGTGTTATGGCGGGGCAGTGGAGGAGGGCTTTCAGTTCCTGGGGGAGGGGGATCATCCCTGGGAGGATAGCAGGCCCCCTGCTGGGACACTGTACTGCTTGCTTCCTGGCTGTACGAGGAGGAAACAGGAGGCGGAGCACTTGGTTCTGGAGGGGGTGGGGGAGGGGGAAGAGACAGGGCTGTAGACAGAGGTAGGGGAGGCCTGGGATTGTGGGGCTCAGCTGTGGACTGATCCATTGAGGTTGGTTTCTGGGTCACAGAGCTGGACACAGTCGAGTCTGGTACATCTAAAGTACATGTATATCAATTCATATAGGGAACAATCCTAACAAGAGTTAACTAAAATAAGGGTTTCACCATTTTCAAAGAACATTGAAAAAGTTCCTGATAATGGTGAATTAATACTAAAAATTAACCAACTGATTAAAAATATGATATCAATGTACATGTATCAACAAGTCATTGCTATGGAACTGTTCTAATGTTTTAACACTTATTAACAAGGCATTAACATGACTGACAAAATGTCACCACCTAGTTGCTCACAATATTATGAGTTCAATCTTAAGTTGGATTTGCATTTCTGAGAACTTAGTGTAGATGATTTTGAAAAAAAATTCGTTTGATGCAAGTTGAAAAAGACCTTTTTTGTTTTTTTCCCTGAGAAAGTTGTTGAAGGTGAAACCTCAAATCTAAATTAAGACCCTTTACCTTTTTTGACCTTGAGAAGGTCATTGAAGGTCTAATCTTTTTTTGCCTTAAATAGGTCATTGAAGGTCAAATCTTTTTTTGACCTTGAGAAGGTCATTGAAGGTCAAATCTCAAATCTATAGTCAGATTTGAACTTCTGATAACAGTCAGTCTAAACAGTATTTGTTAAGTTATTGGAAGTTCTAAGAATTTGTTACAGACGCTAACCACCAACTGCCAACTTTTTGGTGGTGACATAAAAACTTTTAATCCTGAGCAAAAAACAAAATGATCAATATTTGGAATAACAAGTGTAATCTACAAGAAAGTTATATTAACATTACAAAGAATGATTTCAATTTCTTACAAAGTTACAAATTAAAGGGGTGATTGAACAGAATTTTAATAAATACTAAAAACCTACCATTCATCTCCTGTTCAAACAAGGCATATTGATCCTTCAGATTGTCATCCATTTTAAGCTCAGAACTTGTGACCTTGACCTCAGACTGTGTGGCCTTGACTTTGGCAGTTTCAACCTTGCGCTCTTCATCAGAGCTGTCACTGTCAGATTCTGATTGGGCCGTATCATCCTCAATGTCATCCTTGGGGAAATCCCACTGGGAATCACCGGTGACCTCATTCATGTAGAAATAGCGCTTGAATGACCTGAAAACAGTTGCCGTAGCAACAAGAAAAAACGACAAAGGTCAGACTGATTGCTCTGTTTACTGAATAGCACCATGGTTTCTGATCTACTCAAATCACAATCTTAAAAACTCTCAACTTCCATGAAATGCATGAAACTTTTATTAAAATATTTTGAATTATATCAATTAATTAAGTAGACCATCCATGGATAAATATTCAGGTTATTTTTATTTACATGTTTTACTCAAAATATGCATAAATCAACTTTCATTAAAACTCATGAACTTTATGGTTGGTTGGAAAATGGTATTTTTATATATCATATATGACTGGGTTATTTTATGCAGAAATGACCATAAAAATCATGAATTTTAGAGAGATGTTGATAACAATATAATACACTGCAGCAAGATGCCACAATCTAATCATAGTTATTTAACCAAAATGCACATTGGCATTTGGTTGAAGTCGCATAAACTGACATCTTTAAATCGTCTTCAGCATCCCCTGGAAAACAGCAAAAATAGATACACTGTGCAAGTCAATTTATTCAAGTAAAACATCACAGGTAGACTACAGTATAACCTGTATATCCAAAAACCTCTCTAATTTGAAGACCTTTTATGTGAACACTTTTTGGGTCCATTTCTGCCATAAACTTCCAAGTTAAAAATCCTCAAAATCACTTGCCAATCTCTTTTGGCCAGTCCTATTGAATTTTGGATTAGACAGGTTTTACTGTACGACATAAACAGATATTAACATATTCAAGAAATACAGTACTTAATTTTTAATCAATATACCATAGGTGGTAATCACTCAATGACTCAGAATTTTATGCAATGTCAAACTAAAACACCATCAAACAAAATATTTTCCTTCCAAAACATATCATGGAGCTCAAGTAATATTTTGCAGTCACATCACCCAGGCATGCAAGACTTGTTATCAAATTATAATTTTATGAAAATGGTTATGTTATTTTGAGGGATTGTGAACAGCGCTCAATATTTTGATGAAATAATTATACTTGAAATATAGCGATATTCAAGGTAGAAATATTAAAAGTTGAAAACTTTTCCAAATTATCACTATTTATTTTGAACATATTGAGCATGACTTTAAAATATGAAGTATGATCTCCATGATGATTTTTGGAAGGACTTACTGTGTGGGATTGAAAAACTTACGAACAGAGGTTCAGCTTACGAGTCACCCATAATGCATCTGGCTTCCTGCTGATGTTGTAACTTGTCATTTAGAGATATAACAGTTCATTCCAAGTCTACTCTATACAGTTCAATATATGTACCCCTGTTGTATTTTCTGGCTACAGGATCTATCCCATTTGGCAGATAGCTCTGCTATTTTTCAAGAATTAACATAGTCATTTTGCTTGAAACACTTTCTTAGTTTATAAATAGGTCAAACGGTCGCCTTCCACTTGTTGGACAGACCACATCCTAAATATGAACATTCACTAGGGAGAATCACACAACCAAATAAGGACTGTATACCAAATAAGGATAACATGTCCAAATATGGCGCATTCACATAGAAATCATGTCCAAATAAGGAAATGTTGACAGTACCTGTCCCAGTGGCAGGACCAGCCAGGTGGAGTGGAATTCTGTTCATATTCCTTGATTTGTTCCTCAGATTCCTTGAGTTTCTCTAACAGATAGTGGGTATTCAGACCTCCATTGCGCCAATCTTGAACCCGTGTCTAAAATAAGAGAACACATTCATTAGGGGTATTGTCATAGATTACCATGTTAAACAAGGCATAACATGCAAAATGTCCACCTACATTACAGACACCAACTGCCAAACACCATATTACAGACGCAGACTGACCAACATCAACTGCCGAACACCATCCACAAAAAGTAACAATACTTCTGAAGGTGACTTAGAGACCTTTACTTGAAATGTGAACACCTGCCAATCAGATTACCTCTAGCCGATTCAAGTGGTGTTCAAATGAGACAGGTTTTACTGTAACTGCTTTCGTTGAATGGATAAATAACTTCAATATGAGCACTTAAGTGATTTCAATCGTTATACTACCATTGACAGGCCCGTAGTCAGGGGGAGTTCGCAGGGTTCGGGCGATCCCCCCCTGGCCAAAAATTCTTTCAAAATCATGCAGTTTTTCACCATTTTGAGCACTTCTCAAGTGATTTTAGCCATATTTGGGCCAAAATTGTCAAATGTGAACCCCCCCTGGAAATTTTTGAAAACTGAACCCCCCCCCCCTTGGCAAATCCTGGCTACGGGCCTGTGGTTCAATAATGTGTTTTGAGAATTTCAGATGGGAAGACCTGCTATTATTGACTTAAATCCTGAAGAATGTACATATACATAATTTTGTACTTACTTCATGGACTCAGTATAGCCAAATGCAATATTAAAGTACCTTCAGAAAAGGTGCTTCAATTTTCAATCTAAAAACAAGAATGAATTTTATGAAGGCATGAAAAAAGGACCATACCTCAATCTGTATCAACTGTACTTGTAAAGTTGAGATGTTTTTTCGGGTAATATTTAAAAATTGCAACTTCTCCAGGAGTAGTCCGGAGAGATCCGCTATTTCCATTTTCTCCTTTATGTCCAGCCTTTTATCCATTAAAGATGATGTTTGTAGTGATTCCTGTACTTCTACAGTTTCTGCAAAAAGTATGACAAATAAAATTTGAATAATTTTTGTAGAAGGATGTCAAGATTTAGCATTTTGTTGAATTTAAATGTAGCTCTTACCCTCTAGTTTAGCCTTCTTCACAGGAGCATCATCTCTTGGCTCTTCAGAGATCCTCTTCCCAGTTATATCTTTGCTACTTACTACCTGGTCCAAAGCTTTTTCAACTGGTGGTTTAGCCTCCGACTTCACAAGTTTCTTCTGAAATAATTCATGGTTCTTTTTAATTTTTTGTTAGATATTTGAACATTTCAAGGTATATCATGCTTTTCCAATCAATCATTTGATTCTATAACTATGCCTTTACATAGAGAAGGGTCAGTCACAATTCAGCCCAGTAAAGTGTGATTATTCACCCCACAGATGTACCCAAACTCTCGGATAACCAAAAATGGAGTACAAAATAATCCATGCCAAGAATCAACAAGAATAGTACTAAATCGTGACTGCCTCTACTCTACTCTTAATGTTCCCACCTTTTTTCTCTCAAGGGCTAGCTCTAGCTGTCGGTCAATGTCATCAGGATCAAAGTCATCCATAGAGTCCTCCCCTTCACTAACCTCTGCCTCTTTATCAGACTCCACCTCTTTATCTAGCTCCTCCCCTTTGGACTCCTTTCCATCAGATACCGTTTTATTAGCAGACACTGTCTCTTTGTTATCTTCTTTCTCTGAAACAGCCACAATTTTAACTTTGGGCTGTTCAGTGTTTTGATGAATCTCCTCACTTTTTGCAGGATCCTCATTGTTATCTAATGAGTCCTCACTTTCATCAGATGAATCTTTTTCTCCCAAGGGTTCTTCCTTCTTGATTTCCTCACTTTTTAGGGAAGGCTTCTCAAAAGAGGTCACTAGAGGTTTACCAAATGTTAAAGCTTGATTTTGAGGATCATTTTCATCAGTTGGTTCATCATATTTCTTATTATAGAAATCAAACTGCATATAGTCATCATGTGACATAGGCTGATCTGCAACATCATATTTTTTTTCGTCTTCAGCTTTCACATTTTCTTCAATGTTCACATTTTCTTCATGATTCTCCGCAGCATCAATTGAACTCTCTGATTTCACATTTTCCACCACTTGATTACTAGTGATGCCATCATCCTCTCTGTTAATAGAGTGTTCAGATGAATCATCATCATCATCATCATAATCCACAACTCCAGCTAAGCCAGGCTTACTCTGAGGTTTAGCAGTAACTGGAATCACTGGTCCAATAAACTGAGGCTCAGCAACACTCTCTTCCTTGTTTTCTTCATCATTTTCAGCATCAGTATTTTCCTGGTCTGCACTATCGATATCGAGTGCCTGGTATTGGTTAGGAAGGTGGAGGGTATAAAGGGCATCATCCTTAGAGGGCATTGTAGGTCCTATAAGCCTCAGGGGCTTGTTATTGTCAGGTAATAGTGGACCTTGAACTTTAGCCAAAGATCTAGGTTCAAAATCATCGTCAACTTCATCAGGATTGTTCAAAGAATCATTTGGTGTGTTAACACTGTCATTCGCATAACCAACAAGATTGATAGGGCTTGAGCGGTTTTTCTTTCCTGATCCAAATGTATTTCGAAATGTCGATAGTACTTCTGTGTCTGATTCATCTTCGGAAACAGGAAGTGCAGGTCCGCAATACACCTCTTCATCGGAATCATTTTCTGAACTTGCTGTTTGCTGGATGGGAGGATCTTTTGCTGCACTGAAATGAATTCACAAAATTCACAAAAATATTTATATCGGTATTTTAGGTACTTAACAGTTATTTAATCTAATTCAACATTTTTCTATAAATCACTTTATATTATATTCTTGACAAGGCATAAACATGCAACATGTCATCACCTTGTCACAGATGCTAAATGCCAAACACCAATCACAAAAAGGTGGAGACTATAACAATATGTCAATTGCCGCCACTGGAGGTGACATAACAATAAATAAACTGATTTCTTTAAAGAACCTTCAGCCCAAATATAATACTTCAAACCTCTCAGAAATAACCTATAATTCTTACCTCTCTGGAATTGTAGGGGCACTCTTTACTTGGCCCTGTCTCTTTGTCCATGCTTCTTCCTCAATAACATACTGTTTGTGCTGTTCCAGGTATGCAGTGTATTCAGGGGGAGCTTCCCATGTTACTTCATTAGTAGTGGTGTTCCAGTAATAATAGCACTGGGTGTTCTCATCCAGCATTGGCTCCCACAGGGTAGTCGGCACTGGAAAACATTAACTGAACATGAATACTTTTGACATTTTTTTAAATTGAAAATAACATACAAGAAATAATTTTTCACAAATAAGGGAGATCATGAATTTTTACAGCATATTGGCAAACATTTGAAAGCATGTTGAAAGTAAACGTCATATCAATATTGTGTAAGTACTTGTATGGATAATGGGCACAACAGTTGAATGTACCCTCAAAAATATATACAGAATATCACATCATTTTTATCGCCGAGTTGATAGCAAATATCAACACGAGTGAGCGAAGCGAATGAGTGTTGATATTTGATATCTACGAGGCGATAAAATGATATCACGAGAAATTATGTGATATTGGGTTTATCCCATGATTACAATCACCTTGTGATGTTCTGATCCAATTTCCAGGACATTGGCAGACAATAACAAGGCATTAACATGACAAAATGTCACCACCTAAAACAATTTGGTCAATTTAAAGCAAGTTGGAAAATACCTTTTGACCTTAAGAAGGTTTGATTTGAACTTCTTAGAACATGTAGATGATTTTGAAAAAAAAATTCGTCAATTTGAAGCAAGTTGAAAAAATACCTCTTTGACTTTTTTTGACATTGAGAAGGTCATTGAAGGTCAAATGTAAAGTCAGATTTGAACTTCTGAGAACATGTAGATGATTTTGAAACAAAAATTAAGTAAATTTGAAGCAAGTTGAAAAAAGACCTTTTTGACCTTGAAAAGGTCATTGAAGGTCAAATGTCAAATCTAAAGTCGGATTTGAACTTCTGAGAACATGTAGATGATTTTGAAAAAAAAAATTAGTCAATTTGAAGCAAGTTGAAAAAAGACCTTGAGAAGGTCATTGAAGGTCAAAGGTCAAATCTAAAGTCAGATTTGAACTTCTGAGAACTTGAAAAGTCAAATTTGAACTTCTGAAAAGATGTAGATGATTTTGAAAAAAAAAGTTGGTCAATTTGAAGCAAGTTGAAAACAGACCTTTTTGACCTTTTTTGACCTTGAGAAGGTCATTAAAGGTCAAATGTCAAATCTAAAGTCAGATTTGAATTTCTGAGAACATGTAGATGATTTTGAAAAAAAAAATTAGTCAATTTGAAGCAAGTTGAAAAAAGACCTTTTTGACCTTTTTCGACCTTGAGAAGGTCATTGAAGGTCAAATGTCAAATCTAAAGTCAAATCTAAAGTCATATTTGAATTTCTGAGAACATGTAGATGATTTTGAAAAAAAAATTTAGTCAATTTGAAGCAAGATGAAAAAATACCTTTTTGACCTTTTTTGACATTGAGAAGGTCCTTGAAGGTCAAATGTCAAATCTAAAGTCAGATTTGAATTTCTGAGAACATGTAGATGATTTTGAAAAAAAAATTTAGTCAATTTGAAGCAAGTTGAAAAAAGACCTTTTTGACCTTTTTTGACTTTGAGAAGGTCATTGAAGGTCAAATGTCAAATCTAAAGTCAGATTTGAATTCCTGAGAACACGTAGATGATTTTGAAAAAAAAATTTAGTCAATTTGAAGCAAGTTGAAAAAAAGACCTTTTTGACCTTTTTTGACTTTGAGAAGGTCATTGAAGGTCAAATGTCAAATCTAAAGTCAGATTTGAATTCCTGAGAACACGTAGATGATTTTGAAAAAAAAATTTAGTCAATTTGAAGCAAGTTGAAAAAAAGACCTTTTTGACCTTTTTTGACTTTGAGAAGGTCATTGAAGGTCAAATGTCAAATCTTAAGTCAAATCTAAAGTCAGATTTGAATTCCTGAGAACACGTAGATGATTTTGAAAAAATTTTTTAGTCAATTTGAAGCAAGTTGAAAACAGACCTTTTTTGACCTTGAGAAGGTCATTGAAGGTCAAATGTCAAATCTTAAGTCAAATCTTAAGTCAGATTTGAATTTCTGAGAACACGTAGATGATTTTGAAAAAAAAATTTAGTCAATTTGAAGCAAGGTGAAAACAGACCTTTTTTGACCTTGAGAAGGTCATTGAAGGTCAAATGTCAAATCTAAAGTCAGATTTGAAGGTCAAATGTCAAATCTAAAGTCAGATTTGAATTTCTGAGAACATGTAGATGATTTTGAAAAAAAATTTAGTCAATGTGAAGCAAGTTGAAAAAAGACCTTTTTGACCTTGAGAAGGTCATTGAAGGTCAAATGTCAAATCTAAAGTCAGATTTGAACTTCTGAGAACATGTAGATGATTTAGAAAAAAATTGAAGTCAGTCTAAACAGTATTTGTTAAGTTATAGGAAGTTGTAAGAAATTGTTACAGACGCCGGACGCCAACCGCCGGACGCCGGACGCCAACCTCCAACCGCCGGACGCCGTCGCCAAAAAACGGAGACCATAACAATATGTCACCACTTTTGGTGGTGACATAAAAACTAGAAATTAGAATATCAATTGAATATTTGAAACACTTTTTTTAACAATTAAAAGTAAATACAATTTTTAATCGTTAGTTAGCAGCCTTATCAAATTATATACACAATCGTAATTCAATACACCAATGAAACTTAAAGAGAATAAATTAACGGACCTGTTTTCTCAAAAGAGAATGAATTATCTGACCTAATTTCCAACAATATTGTGGCGCGAAATGCAAATGTGATATCACACGGATATGCGTGAGATAAACGATATCACACGCATATGAGTTTGATAAACGATTTTCTGGAAAATATCACACAGATTTCAATAATATCAGAAATATCAATAGCTGTTATTGTACAGATAACACATTAATCGTGGGATAAATAGAGGATATCCTATGATTTATGAGTGATATGATTTTTATCCACGAAAGGATATGATATCTGCACGAGCGAGCGTAGCGAGAGAGTGCAGATTTCAATAACCATGAGTGGATTAAAATCATATCACGAGTAAATCATAGGATGTTCTTTTTATTCCATAGTTAAAGTCATCATCAGAATCTTCGGAAATTAAGTCATTTAATTCGAATTTTCCAAACGATCCGGCGATGTTGACACTTAGCCTCGTTTTGAGTCTGAAGTAGCAAAAATCCATAAACCATCGCATACGACGTCGTATGTCATGGCTAAAAAACCGTATGCTATGGTTAAGTGAAAATTTGTCAAAAATATCATATTTTACCACTGATTACAAAAATACCGTTTTTATTTTCACATGTTATCCTATGAATATCATGCTAACTATGGAATAAATACAGATATCCAACTCCACATCATTTCTCCGGACATCGTTGAATAGACCCTGAGAAATATATACAGATACCGAATATAAGTTATTGAATGATTTGAAGTGCAATACAGGATATATTGAGCAATATATACAGAATATCACATCATTTTGAGTGATATCATTTTTATCGCCTAGTTGATATCAAATATCAACACGAGTGAGCGAAGCGAATGAGTGTTGATATTTGATACCTACGAGGCGATAAAATGATATCACGAGAAATTATGTGATATTGGGTTTATCCCATAAGTTTCCCATTTGAATGTCGAAATTCGCCAATTCTTCGTCAGACGAAGACTTAAAGATTCTCGCAATCTTTATCCAATCAGCGTTTGCGAGTGTGTCGGCTCACGTATAAAAGGCGAATCCAACTCAAATCCATGCAGGGGTGTATGAGGTACTCGAGTAGGAAAGAGCTCGTGAAATCTGAATTTATATGCACATGGTCAATGTTTACACATGTTTGGAGTTATTGAAGAAAATGTGATATGGGTGTGGTTCCGAATTTGAAGTCATTGCTGGAAAATATGATTTTGATACGTGAAATTATATCTATAAATACAGCACTAAAAATAACAGTACACATGAAGTAATGTTTGAAACCCTTACGGAAAATTCTGTCTGCATTTTGTCACCATTGCTCTTTCTTCCCGCATTCTAGTGCTGTTTGAATGAATATATTAATTAATGTATTCCTAACACATTTTTTTATGAACCACAAACATTTAGATCATAAAAAAATATTCAATACTTGAGTGAGCACGATATGCAAGGGTTACTAAGTTGACACAGTAAATGACCACTGATATTGTGTTAGCAAATATGTATTAGCAGAATACACTGTGTGAATGGACTAACACCCCTCACTTTCATAGTGAAGTGACTAATTGGTTTATGTTTACATTTTAATGTGTTTTGGGTTCCTTGTTACAGCAAGGGGGGCCAGTAAAGTAGACTAACATGTTTGCATGGCAAATTTTGATCGAATATGTGAGACACTTTAAAGAGAATAAATTAACGGACCTATTTTCTCAAAAGAGAATAAATTATCTGACCTAATTTCCAACAATATTGTGGCGCGAAATGCAAATGTGATATCACACGGATATGCGTGAGATAAACGATATCACACGCATATGAGTTTGATAAACGATTTTCTGGAAAATATCACACGGATTTCAATAATATCAGAAATATCAATAGCTGTTATTGTACAGTCAGATAACACATTAATCGTGGGATAAATACAGATACCCAATATAAGTTATTGAATGATTTGGAGTGCAATACAGGATATATTCTGTCTCGATATTCGTCTCGTGCCAATACAGAATTTATCAAGTACGAAGTCGAGTGCCACTACAGAATATCGAGACAGAATATATCCTGTATTGCACTTCAAATCATTCAATAACGTTTTTATCATGTGATCCTCTGTATTGCTGCTGAGATTGTCCCGTCCGTACCAATATTTTCTTTATTGCTACGGAGATGAACAATAGGGACAATCTCAGTAGCAATACAGGGACAACCTCAGTTGCAATACAGATTGGTACAGCACAAGAACTGACCAATCAGATTGCTTAATTTTACAGATCATACAATAATATAAGTTATTGAATGATTTGAAGTACAATACAGGATATACCAGTATTCTCTTCGAGAAATTTTGTATTAGAACGAGACAAAGTCGAGTGCCAATACAGAATATTGAGACAGAATATATCCTGTATTGCACTTCAAATCATTCAATAACGTTTTTATCGTGTGATCCT